GATCAAAGCATAAAATCTGATTTTGCTTGGTGTGTTCAACTTTGGCCAGCCTCAACAGGAGAGAGTGTATTCATCTTATCTGGAATTGGACCTTGCTGGTGTTGAACCTTGTGTTTCTGGACCGAAAAGGTAGTTGTTCTAGAGCTGTTCAGGGAAATTTATGGTTTGGTTATGGTTTTTCTTTTTGTTTATATTGATGAGATCGGTATCTTTGTTTTAGACCACATGACCGAGTTCCTCTAAGACAAATGAAGGATGATTGGCATTCATGTCTTGATAACAAAATTGGGTTTAAGGTGCGATAAAAATTTTTGCTGTTTGTTTTTAATGTTATTTTCTACTGTTCCTTTTCTACTTCTAACACCTGGTCGCATCCGTGAAGCATGAAAAAAAGATTGAAAGGAGTGAAACTCTAATTCTAGTTTTTTGTTTACATGATTCCCCTTTTCTTCCCTACTCTTGGTTGGATAGGGATCTTTAGTTGCCTGGCCATAATCTGACAAGTTTTTGTTTGTGTGGCTGACCATGCAAATGATGTCAAATTAATAAGATTAGTGAGATTATACTGCATGGGTGAAATGTAGGAAACAGTTCTGCTTTTGTTGATCAGATGTTAAGCTAGTGAACTACCTGAATCTGTCACTTGCCAGGGGTTTGGAGTGCCAAAGGAAGAACAAAGTAAGGTTGCCAAGTTCTCATTCAGTGGCCAGCCTGCTGAACTTAAACATGGTAGTGTTGTTATAGCTGCTATCACAAGCTGTACAAACACATCCAATCCGAGTGTCATGCTTGGAGCTGGTCTTGTTGCAAAGAAGGCCTGTGAGTTGGGGTTGGAGGTTAGTATTAGTTTCTCAGGTCATGCATGTACCACAGTTTGAAGTTACAGTGCTTTATGATTTTTACCTTTTGCTTTACCCCTTTGCCTTGCTTTGTGCAGAGTCTCTTTAATCACTTGACTCTCTGCATATTGTAGTCATACTTGAAAGTGGTTTTTGACTAATTTCTTTTCTTGGCTGTTGGGTAGGTAAAGCCATGGATAAAAACTAGTCTTGCCCCAGGCTCTGGAGTTGTGACAAAATATTTGCTCCAGAGGTACTTATGTTTTGATGCAAATTCATCTAAGAGTTACTCCTTACTCGCCCAGTGTACTGTTTTAAATTAGCAACTAAACTTCTTATTCTTGTTCTAGTGGCCTGCAAAAATATTTGAACCAGCAAGGATTTCACATTGTTGGCTATGGATGCACGACATGCATTGGAAATTCTGGGGATCTGCAAGAATCAGTAGCTTCAGCAATCACAGAACATGGTATTAAAGTTGTTTATAATGTTACTATCCCATATTTACATAAATTCAGAGCTGTGCAAGGCTTTCCTCTAGCTTTCATTTACATTGCCCGAATATCTTTGGAGTCACTTGACTTTTAGACATATCGTGCTACTGTTGCCTGTGTTATTATAGTTTGTCTTGTATAAAAGGGAATGTGAAAGCTAAATGATGCCTTTTGAATGATCTTAGAGACCTATTACAATTTTCACATAGGCAATTGAATGAAAAGTTAAATGCATATGGTGATATGGTTGCAAATGGGCTGCTCTGCTAGACAGGAGTGTTTTCTTTATTTAGAATTTTTGTGAAGTTCGTTTATTTTGAAAGAGGATGCGATTGAAGTATTTTTTTTTCTCTTTTGTTTATGGCCAGTGTAGACCAATATGTCATTTTATCTAGTAAAGTAGCAAGAAATAAAGATTTTAACCTATTTTGCTTCTGATGCTAGGTCGCTATATTAGATATGTCAGCAACCTTAGCAGTAAAATTGCTTTTAAAATTTGGGTGACACGCGATATTGCAAGTTTGCTAGTATTGCTCCTGTACATTCATGTTTTTTAACATCCTTTGCAGACCTCATTGCTGCTGCTGTACTTTCTGGTAATCGCAACTTTGAAGGTCGTGTTCATCCGCTGACAAGGGCTAATTATCTTGCTTCACCTCCATTAGTTGTTGCTTATGCACTTGCTGGCACGGTATTATGCATAACTTTATTTAACTTTACGTTCCGGTTTCTTCCTCTGAATTTGTGTAGCTATCAATATAATGATCACCGAAGTTGAGATGCTCCAATTTTTTATAAGCATTGTGTGTTTTTCAAGGAATCAAGAGTCCCTCGAACCATGATAGTGGTCTACATCCTTTTTAATTATGGTGTTGAATACTTTTGTATCTGATGATCTATTGGTTATTCACTTTTATGGTTGAGAAACCAGGGGCTTGATTTTTTTATTGTGCAGCTGGGGCCAATATCAATGGGAATCCTTGCATTTTGATAGGATCCTTAACATTTTGATTCTTTCCAGGTTGACATTGACTTTGAGAAGGACCCAATTGGAATTGGAAAAGATGGAAAAAGTGTGTACTTCAAAGATATCTGGCCCAGTACCGAAGAAATTGCTGAGGTAGTTTCTTTGTAATTTTCTTGGTTGTTTGACTTTCAGTTGACATTTTTTACCATATCTGACTTTGTTTGCTGAGATCACAGGTGGTGCAGTCTAGCGTGCTCCCAGAAATGTTTAAGAGTACTTATGAAGCTATTACACAAGGCAATGCCTTCTGGAATCAACTGTCTGTTCCTTCATCAAAGCTTTATGAATGGGATCCCAACTCAACATATATCCATCAACCTCCATATTTCAAGGACATGACCATGGATCCACCTGGTCCCCATGGAGTCAAGGATGCGTATTGCTTGCTGAAATTTGGTGACAGTATCACTACTGACCATATTTCTCCAGCAGGGAGCATCCATAAGGATAGTCCAGCTGCGAAGTACTTGATGGAGCGTGGTGTTGACCGTAGAGATTTCAATTCTTATGGTAGTCGTCGTGGCAATGATGAAGTGATGGCAAGGGGAACCTTTGCAAATATTAGACTTCTGAATAAGTTCTTAAACAAACAGGCTCCAAAGACTATTCACATCCCAACAGGCGAGGAGCTCTATGTTTATGATGCAGCAATGGTGAGTTTTAGTTAGATCAGTGTTGATTGACTTGGATAGTCTGTGGAGTTAATTTGATTCTCTGTGTCCATGGATACATGAATTATAAAGGCTGGGGGTATCTCCAGCTGCCGCTTCATGCTGGTAGAATGAAAAGATAGGCGAGTCTTCCATTGTAGCTTGCTCTTTGCTTTTTTTCCCCCCTCTGCTTAAGATTGATTTTCTGTTCTCTCAACTAGGATGTTAATTGGTAGCATTCTAATCCAATCTTTAACCTTTATTAATTAAACTAACACTGCAATTGTTCTCAGAGGTACAAGAGTGCTGGTCAGGACACCATAATTCTGGCAGGTACAGAGTATGGAAGTGGCAGTTCTCGAGACTGGGCAGCTAAGGGTCCAATGCTGCAGGTAAGTTGGTATTGTCTGCAAAACATTTTTGGATGGTTTGGTTGTTTAGCACATCCTATTTGCTTCACCTGCCATATTCTGCTTCTGATTTAGGGAGTCAAAGCGGTGATCGCCAAAAGTTTTGAGAGAATACACCGCAGTAATCTTGTAGGGATGGGCATTATTCCACTTTGTTTCAAACCTGGCGAGGATGCTGATACGCTGGGCCTGACAGGTTATGAACGTTACAGTATAGACCTTCCAAAGAAAGTCAGCGATGTAAGACCTGGCCAAGACATTACAGTCACCACTGATGATGGAAAGTCTTTCACATGTGTAGTCCGTTTTGACACACAGGTATGTATAACTGTTTCAGCCCTGTCAGGTCTAACTTGATGCCAATTTGCAAGGAAAACTTGTGGCCATGGGTCGATACTATTTTATTCCCTTCATCCCTTTCGGGGTGGTTAGTGGCCAAATCCCGGTGATGAACCCTTTCTCAGAATGCCACAGCTAAACAATAATTTCTCGTTGTAGCTGATGGTCATTGAGCAGCACTACTTAAAGTAGTAGAATTCCTTGATAGGATTTCTTTAGTGATTCTATCTTAATACATATAATTCGTGATGGATGAGGTGATCCAATAAAAAAATTGAAAGTGGACCGTGTGAGTTAGGTTAAAAGTTTAAGAGAAATTAAAGATTTCTTACGTTTTTATTTTTTCTGGGGAGATTGAGAACTAACAATGAAAAATTGTTTTCTGAAATCATTATTTGATTGTGTTTGCAGGTAGAACTGACATACTTCGACCATGGTGGAATCCTTCCCTACGTTATTCGAAACTTGGCCAAGTGAAAACTTGAGTTTCACTCGAGCATAGGATGACCAGTTATGCAGAACTGGGACAGCAGGGACTACAGCACAGCTACAATCCTCTCTTAGTTCATGAGCTATCGAGATTTATTGCACGGAGTTGTTTCTTGCCTTGAAATAAAGCTCTCGGATAATAGTGAAAATTTACATCTCATTTTAATTTGGCCCTGGTGAAGTGGGAACATGTGGCGTAATTTGTAGCGTGTCTTTTTTGGAGGCGGTAGTGGTAAACTTGCGTAGATACAAATGCCACTGTGGGGTGGATTTAATCACGGGGTCGGCGCTTGTTTGTTAAACTTTTCCTGTTATGCGTGTCTTCAATTTGTCCATCTTTTCTCGTCTCAGTTTTGCTTCTCTCACTTGACTAAGGGCGTGTTGTCAATGTGTGATAAAGGTGGTTAAGTGTATAAAGGTTATCCTTTGTCGTTTGACGAATAATATCCATCTCTACTTACCGTGCATTTTCCAAATATTAGTGCTTTTACTAGAGTGACCACTGGGTGCAGATAAGGCCCTGCAAACGGTGAAGGATATCTGCACGCTCTAAAGCTTCAATGCGCTCTCTTTAGATTTTGTTGACGGTCAAATAATGCGTTTTTTGTTTATTGAGTTAAACAAATTTTTGTAGGTCAAGCAACATGTACGTCGGCCGGAATAAAGTTTGTCTGAGACGCTGCGTGAATCTTCTTTACCTAATTTTTTTTTACCTTTTCTCAAAATAGACGGAAATTATTATGCTGTACCTGTGAAGCAAGAAATTTCTTTGGAATGCATTACTTTACAGCCGGTGTCTTAACTATACTTCACTGTACTTAAATACTTTACAAAGGCAAAGCAAAAGAAGAAGAATGATAACACAATCCCTGATCAGTGAATTCCTCCCATCCACTGGATCGCTAGAGATACCTAAAACATACATTCTACATCATGAAAACGAGAGAGACCGAAACAATGAAAATCATGCCTGCAAAACCGCATAGACTTCAGGCCAACTTTCAAGTAATACAGTGATAAAACTTAATCCTTAGGCTCTAAAGAATGAAACTCATGATATGAAAGCAGGATAACGTCCTAGCCTAATTCCGATGGTGTAGAGACTTGGTTGCTTGGGAGGCAAGTGCCATTGCTTTTGCTCTAGAACTCATCATCACCCACTCCCTCACTGCTCGTCGCTGGTGCTGCCTTGCATTCTTTGCACGCTTTGGTGCCAACCGGTTATCTCTCTCTACAAATGCAAGCCTAAACTTTTCAGCCATGGGTAACTCATCAGAGCCAGAAGTTGACGCGATTATTGACCCAGCTGTAAACCCAGATATCGCCCATGTTTTCGGATCAATATCTTCAACAACTGGATCGTCCAATGCTGCACTTGGGAAGGCTTCTCTAGGAATTTCAAAGCCTCTGTATCCAAAAGCTGATGGTTTTGGGTTTATAATTATGCGGGGGCATTCTACAGACAAGCTCTCTAAGGAATCCTTGTCAACTTTTGGCTGTTAAAAGTTCACAAATCAGAACTCCATGCAAATAAGAGCACTAACCCGCTCATTTTTTTAATCTAGTATCATAGGTTAAGCAAACCAAATTTCTGAACACCGGTCATCTTTAATAGCAAAACGGAACTTACAAACTAACATTGAAAGGAAACCATACCCATACAAGCCAACGAAGTGATTGTGCAGCAGCGGCAATATCTGTGGCCTCCAGTTCCTCCCAAGATTCCCCGGCCACATCATGTAAAGTAGGCTTCAAGATACTTAAGCATCTCCGCGCTGTTTGGTCAGTTGCTGGGCACCCTCTGCAACATGAACTTTGGTTCATTTCCTGTTATTGAGGTTTATGCTCATGGTCAAAACCCAATATATTGGGTCATTCTATCCCATAAGATGATGAGAATACTCGAAGAGAAAATTCAAATTGGTTATACTTTTCTTCTTTCTATTAGTATGAAAGACTCAACTGGCACGGATTGACAATTAATTCGAGAAAGTCGAGACATGCACCGGGGTCTGGGAAGCTCTTTAAACGTCTATAGAAGTTTATTTCACTTCTGATTGAGGCAGCAAATGGAATAAGTAAATATCACTTTAAAGTAAAAGTTGAGTGAGTTCTGATAAGTTTTTTCATCTGCCTCCAATGTCCTTTTTCCATTCTTCATATATCAATCTAGACAACAGAAATGAGCCTAGATTTATTAATTATACATATATATGTTTGCTATAAGTCAATGCAGCAAAAACATGGGTTGATACTAAAACTCAACTATGATCCAGGTTCCAGTTAAAACGTACAAGATCAATATGAACACACAAGTTCAAACATCTGCGGTGAGTTGACTGCCAGGTGAATGGCACAAAAATTTAGCACCTTAATGTTAACAATTATAACACAGGCGTTAAGGCCAATTAGTTAATTAAACAAAAAACAAACAAAAGTATTTGAACTACAATCTTGTATGTATCTCCTAATATTAATCTTAAAATCATGTTAGAAGTTAAGGAGGTTGTACACACCTAAACAAAACCAACCCGGTGAATTTAATCATAGCAGCATCGCTTTGTACATATAAATATAGCACAGAAAAAGGTACAAGGAAGATAGCATACCCCCATCTCAATATCTCCAAACACTGGCAATGCTGAAGGAGTTCAGAAATCCCAGTTGACGTGAGTTTGCTGCACCGACTAGGTAAAGAAAGACAGCAGCGTAAACAAAAGCCAAGTCACATTAGACGAATAAAGTTGGTATAGTAAAAAATAGTACAACATATGCAATGTGATACCCCATCAGGATAAAAAACAATCACAATATAGAACTTTCTGCAAGTCGAGAACTGGAACATTTGGGAGCTTTTTAAACAAAAAATCCACGAGAATGAACTGAAAGTTACAAAAGAAAACCACATCCCATAAGTCAGATTGGTTCTCTCGCCTAGTCATTGAAAAGATGTAACCAAGTTGATGCATCTTTAAATCTTCAGAAAAGTCCAACAGTATGAGATGATAACCAAGCAACTGATCTTGAAAATTCAATGGAAAGGACCATACTGTTGGCTTCTTACAGCCCATGCAACGCAAAGGATAACAATCATTCATAATTGAAAAGTTTGTTCATGGAGAAGATGTTAAATTCTAAGTAAATCTACTAATGTGGCAGCAATTCCAAATGGAACGTCCTAGGGTTCCTACCATATTGCTACATAAGAATAACAAATTGCATCCGAATTAACACAAAATCACAACTTGGGTACCTTATGTCAACTGCTCGCAAAGATTTGCATATCTGAAGTACTTGTGATAAACCAAAATCAGAAATATCTGAACCCGATATGTCAAGTATGTCCCAAGAACTTTCAGCTAATACGATAATAACATCATCAGTCAGTAACTTTCGTCTTCTTGCAATTGCGGCAAGGGCCATCTGACAATTTTGCATGGACATGTCAATATCTTTTCTTTTTAAATAGAACAAGGTTCATGAAATAATTCATTCATATATGCACCCCTGCTTTTCATACCTAGACTGATTTTATGAGATCATGTACTGCTATTATCCATAACAAATTGCAATCCCTTAAGCCATCTTAAAAGGACTCTTAAGGCACTTATTTTTCACAATAACACTGTCGACTGATCAAATAAAGCCAATTGATTTCACAAGCGGCAAAGGCCCCAAATTTATTAATAAGAATGGATGATGATACCACCAAAAAAATTAGAGGAAAAAGCAAACAAAAATAGAGTCTTCAAAGCAAGCACTACAAGTTTAAGCAGTTTAGGTAACAATGAGACACCAAATCTCAATCACATATTAACGGCCCTGGAGCACCATTAGCCACATAAATATTAGAACAATTTATATTACGAATTAAATCACTGCCAATCAAGATAACCATTTTAACTCATTGCTGTGATTACACAATACGAAGGATCAATACATCAATTTCTGTACAAAGAGAGAGAGAGAGAGAGAGAGAAGAAGGAGAAGAAGAAGGAGAAGAAGAAGAAGAAGAAGAAGAAGAAAAAGACGGGTTCTTTGATGTTTTTTAACCTTGATATTGGGTGGAAAAGTCGGGGCAATATCAGGCAAGTCCTCAATGATGTCCTCAAAATGCCTACCAACTACCCCAAGACATAAACTCACTAAGCTGGGAGGCTTTGGCTTCTTAATCTTTAGCACTGCAATCCAAAAAGCTCGAACAAAGTAAAAAAACTTAACATCGCAAGAATATCATCAGTCAGTTCAAGAAATGATCGAGCAAAATTTTCAATAGGCTGATGAACCTCCACACACTAAAAGAATAGAAAAGGGAAACAAAATACAAGAGGGATTGGTGAGTACCATGATTTTGATGGGAAAGGAGCGAAAACTTGGTTGATTTCTGAGTGGCCTTGTTGGGATTGAGATGCAAATCGAGCTGTTGAAACGAGGCCGTTAGGTCTCTGGCTTTGACTTTTTCCATCGACAAGCCGGGGCAGGGAGCAGCTGAAGAAGGAAAACCAAACCCGGGATTTGAAGGATTGTGCTGACAATTCTCAGCTGCTCTCTTAATTGGCGGTCCGATTCACCGCCTTTTGCCTCCTTTTTCAAGAAATTAGAAATGCAAAAAAAATAAAATAAAAATAATTAATAATTAAAAATAAAGGGAAGAAAAGAAAGGAGAAGAAAGTTGTTTGGGACTTGCCTGATGACGTGGCAGTTAGTGACCTTGTAAAAAGTAAAGAGTCTTGTTAGCTCATAGTATCTTATCGTATTATGAAATCACTAGTCCTGAGAAATCTTCTCTCTCTCTCTCTCTCTCTCGACGGGAAAAGATGCAGAAAAATAGAGCGAGTTTGAACTGCGGATAACTCTAGAAGGGAACTTCGTGCTCAATGCTGAAGTACAAAACAACTGAGAATTAATTGGCACTTGGCAGAAAATCCGATTCTCGACCCTCCAAATCCAAGCTTTAGTTGTTAAATTGATTAATGCCCTGTATCTATATTGTATTGTGTTTTCTTTTTTGGTGTTAGTTGAATAGGAGTCCTTGAGCTGGTACTGGCATTTGGGTCTCGACTGAACTGATTGTCTGGGCAGCACAACTTCCATGTGAATTGAGTAACAAGACAGTGAATTGTGACTAAAGCCTCGAACTTTCGCAAACTCGTATCCTGGACATTTACGAACTCCTGCCCCGAATGCAATGAAGCAGTAAGGAGGAATGGAAGATTGATCATCAATTCTTGTCGGATCAAACTTTGTGGGATATGCTGCTATCCATGCGAGTCATGGCCGCAACCCAAAAGATCTATAGTTATCGTGAAGGAAGGATTTTTTTAATCCCACGCTTTACCATATACTAGAAAGAACAAAAATAACAGGAGGAGGTATCTCTCTTACTTGCCATCCTTTAGGCATAAGCAGGACATTGCGTATTATCTCTTCTTCATATAATACTTCTGCATTGCCTTCTCCGGGGATGCTAAGTAAACAAGAGATGAGGCCCTGGTGGGACGGAGCCCCTTTTGACAGTTCAAGTCTCTTTTCACGTAAAAGCTGCTCCTTTTAACATATCTTGAGTCTTTGCACCGGCCTTAAGGCTGCGGTTGATGCGTGGACGGAGCTCCCCTATTAGCTGTTGGAGGTACTTAACAAGTTGACCTCTTCGAGCTCCGTGTTGAACCCGAAAAGAAGTGTACATCTTCAGACAAGAAGAGCATTTCTAACTCGCTTATGATCTTCGTCGCTGAGCTCCAAAATATTACGATCCCCCCAAAATCATACTTATTGACACGGCCTGTTGGTTGTTGGAAAGTTTGCCTCCGTCACTGGACTGAACAAAAACTTGTTTGCAGCCTGTGCATAGATGAAAACTGTTGGTTTTCCAAAGAGGCTTAGCTTAGAGACTGGACCGTACTTCTTGTCTCTTTCCTCAGACCATGCTTCAGCAATATTGGCTCGCATTGCCCTGAGAAGGCCAAGGCTTTGGCCTACTAAGGGTAGTCCCAGTGACCCCGGTGGAAGCTCCTCTGATGATCTTTCCTTTTCTCCTCCTGAAAAGGAGAAAGAAGACTGGCAGAAGGAACAGGCAAAGTGTGAGGAAGATGTTCGTCATGGACGTCTCCTTGTGTTGCAGTCTAGGTGAGTGAGTTTGATCGTCCCTAGACACGTTTGATGCTACTTAATGATGAGTACTCTATCGCGGGATTTTGTATTGGAAGGAATATGAAACAATGCTGTCAGTGACCATTTGTTTAGTTCCGAAACTTTGTCTATTTTGAGATGGGAATCAGATGGAAATGTCCTCGTGCTGATGCAGCATCACTTGTTGATCCCATCCAACTCTGCCGACCCGTCCTGCATTTCAATTGTTTTTCTCGGTGAAAATGTACAGAAGTTGTTTCAGTGTCAATCAATTTTATTAGGCTTTTCATTTCGATCGCTTTGTGACTTGGGATATGTTACGCGAATTCACGGTTGGGTTTGGTCTTCTATAATGGTTCTCTGGTTCACCGCTTCTATTTCTTATCCAAGTTGTTTGTTATTTTTAATTCCTCCTGCAACAATTCTTTCCTAAAAGTCAACTCTTCTCTTTCACCAAACTCATTTCACTGTTTCATTTGTATATCCTAATTCTCGCTGCTGTCCTGTCCACTCGAAAGGCTTGGCCATCTTCAGCCTGGCTGTAAATGGTTGGTAGGTGTATTCGGGCAGACAGAGAAGAAAAAAAAAAATCTTGTCATCTCTTAGGGAGTACAATTCCTACTAAATACTGATTAACTACTTGTTAAACTATCAGCACTCCGATCCCCCTTTGTCCATTCAGGGATCGGCCATCTTCACCTCTGTTGTTTAGCCTTATTCGAAGACAATGAATATAGATAGCTAAACAAGCCTCTAGGCAGACTTCTTCCCACTAAAACGGAGTCCAACAATCAACATCTTACGGTTGCATAAATCTTCATATGATTACGTGAAATAGTAGAGAGCACTTTGTATACATGCAAAACACAGTGGGAGTGGTAAAATCTGTTGATTTGCCAGTGAAGTGGCACAAATTCTTTTCCTGCTTTCGTGCAAAGCTGTTTAATTAGTAATGTAGCAAAGTAGCCGAAAATACAACCTCGTCTCGTCTTGAACCCGTAAAGTTAAATGCTGCTTCTCAGGGCCATCACTCGCTCTTTGTGGGGAAATGGTTTCCACCAGTGATAATTTTGTAGAGATAAAATACAGTCATAACCGCGCTGCAAGAGAGTACGGAGGAGTTCCATTTCAGAATCTCAAAGTAAATGAGGGGGAAAATCATAAAAAACTAGGTAAGACACCAAGTTACCTCATCCAGGCAAGTAACTAAGTCAAACAAAGATAGTTATAAATATCACAAAGAATTTACCAACAAAGATGCTAGACAGAGAATAAATGGTTTTCGAACTCCAGAATTGTTAATCATTTCAAGACTCCCAGAGCAACCACGTAAGAGCAACCACGTAAGACGCTACAATGTGGCAGATGATATTTGACCATTCTAGCTCTACCCAGGTGATGAGGTTAATTGGGGAACAAAATATTTGTAATGAGGCTAGTGCAATTTTCTTCCTGGCCCCATTGCTATCTCATATCCTAGTTCTTTGTGATTGACCCTGGTGATGCCAACATGTTCCCACTTTTAGGTAGTAATTGAAGCCTATAGGTTGCTTTAGTTCGAAATTCTGCCTTGTTTTATACATTATGAACTTTGGCATTGAAGGCAAAAAGCCCATAGAATGAATAAATGCATAACATGGATGCAAGCATTTTTCTGCCACAGATTCCAGTTCTGCAACAAAATAGAATAATCCAACTGCAAAAAGCATCCTCTTCCAATGTTTTAAAATTACCTGATCCCAGCAACAACACCTGCAGGCATTATCTTTGAAGTTTGCAGGTAGCGGTGTACCATGACCCATGTAAGTAGAGCAGCACAAGCTGTTTGAACCACGTTTGAAAAATTAGACACCAAATTGTGAACCATAGCGCTAATCATTATTCAAATAAGATCATCAAAAGTATATACAGCCTCTTTTATAGATCACCACATAACAATATTGACAAAAGGAAAGGCGATGACTTGCAATTGAAATGTAAAAATTGCAAGTACAAGACATTAGCAATCTGACTAGGGAAAAGATATATTCTTTGGATCTTAAAACCCATAAAAGTTTATTTAGGTTTAGAAGAGCATAGGCATGGTCCTGTACAAGTGCACAGCTTTGATCTACTAACTTCCTTGATGGTTCCTAAGTAGACCCTTTACATCTTTATAAAGGTTATATCCTCCCCCGCCCCCCTTTTTGGCCCCCAAAAAAGCACTTAGTAAACCAGGAGCAGAGGTTGGAGTGTCCCCAAACTCCTGTGCTCCAACAAAGACTCACACACTAAAGACAGCATATGAAGTCTGTTACAACTTGTTATCCACCTAAGAGAACTACAGAGCCAAAGAGAATTTGCTCTCTTCAAAAGTACAGGCTGCAAAAGCATTTCATTACAGTAGCTCTTAGTTTAGCTTATGCACAAGCAAGGAGGTTGGGACGATACATTTTGCAGCAAGAAAAAGTTTAACAAGAAGAAAGCTAAAATTACACAAGTCGGAACGTACTTGCATAAGCAGCTAAATGTGCATACCATATGCCAACTAAATCTGTAACAAATTCGCATGTTGATCTCAATTCTTCTTCTATTTATGATGCAACGGACAAAATGCCAATAAGGCGAAACTATATTTTGCTGTTATCCTAGTTCCTCAAGCAGGCATAACAGAAAGTAAACTCGGATTAAGAATTAAACTTGGACCATCCAAATCTACACGAGGTAATGGATCTACTACAAGTCTAAATCAAGAAAAGCAAGATCTGAACATAAGATAATTGCTGCAACAGTTCTTTCTCCCAAATTCGTTACGTTGTCTTCGCCCAAGAATATTTATGTATGCCATATAAAGAAAAGATATTTCCTTCCACACTTCACAACTTTTCGAACATGATTACCTATCATATCACCAGGAGAAAAAGAAAAAAAAAAAAAAGATGTCCATCTCGAGGGAAAAAAAATTGCAGACGTCTTAGGAAATTTGACTTATGAGGAATTTGATTACCAGTTTCAAGAATCAAGGCAAGATAAGAGTTCTTGCGCTTATGGAAAGCTTGGAGGCTCAGATAACCAGCTAAGAGGAGGACTAATCCCGTGCCAAGACCCCCAGCCAGTGAAGCCGTGCTTCCCTTCCTGGCATATCCGACGATGCCACCAGCAACAAGAATCAGGCCATACGGAATCGTAAAGCAAAAGTCATGCATTTTTCACCAACTGGGTTTTGGAAGTAAGATTGAGAGAATTCGAGAAATTGGAGGCCTTTCTTCTCCAGATCAAGAAAGAAATTTATCTGAGGGTGGTTTTTCTGAAAAATTCAGCTGCGAAATTTGGAGGGGCCAGTGGGGTGCTGTGGTGGGCACGAGCCTGTTGCTTTATTTCTTGGTCAAGAGCCAAAACCCAAAACTTTACCTGCAGCTACCTACTACAGGGGCAGGATGGTAAACTAGAGGCTGATTAACGGAACAAACCCAAGGAAGGCCCAAATCTGTTCCACGCCTTTACCTGACTCCGTCTACTTAACCCGTTTCGTATGGACTGCTCCGTGAACTAATGCAGGTTCATTTTCAGATCCGAACCTGGCCACTACGGAGGCTACATCTACTTTATTTTCTTCTCAACCCGTCACAAATTCGTTCAAGCTACATTCAGGGAACCCTAACCTCAACTGCAGCAATGGCGACTAAATCGGGTTCTTCAAAGAGACCCATGTGCCCGAAATGCTCCAAGCCCGCCCGAATTTGCCTCTGTACCCGATTAAAAGCCCCCAGGCTCGAGAACTCTGTCGCCGTCACAATCCTCCAACACGGCCTAGAGAAAAAGCACCCCCTGAATTCTACAAGAATAGCCTCCCTTGGCCTAAGAAATCTCACCGTAGTTTCAGTCTCTGATGTCAATTTTGAAGGCCGGTTCGTCTTGGACTTCAGCTATCCGGATTCTAAAACGGGTTCGAGTCATTGGGATAGGAATATCACTGATTTTGGAGGAATAGGAAATGGTAAAAGAAAGTGGGATTCTGTTCAGTGGCCTATTCAATGTAATGGATCAGAGAAAGGTTCTCATTTCGTCAAGTTAACGGAGAGGCCAGAAGAGAAAAGGACTAATCTTGCTGACTCTGATGAGGATTTTAGTAAAAGAAATGATTTTGGTTGTGTTACAGCTTCCAATAGTGAATCTTTAATCACTGAATGTGTCTCAGGACCAGCTTTTAGTCCAACTGAAGCAGTTTCTGGATGTTCAGGAGATGCTGTTGTTGCTTTTACTATTGAGAAGTACGGCGCTATTGCATCTTTATGTAACCAAATGCAGAAACAGAACAAGTTTGATCAGCTATTGGCTTCTCAAATAGCTGGTAACGATTTAGGAAAAGGGTTCAGTGTAGTTAAGTTTCAGAGAAAGCAGTTGCATGGAATTGATGAATACGAGGAGTTTCAGGAGTTTGAAATCAAGGTTCCCCCCGGATCAGTATTGCTTTTTCCTAGTGAAAGAGCAGTGAGGATTGAGGCTAATAATTTCGAGGTGAAGAACTTGATTGTGTTGGATGGAACATGGGCTAAGGCCAAGAGAATGTACAATGAGAATCCCTGGTTGAAGCTTTTGCCTCATTTGAAATTGGATTTAGATGAGCTGAGCTTGTATAGTGAAGTGAGGCATCAGCCAAAGACCGGTTGTCTGTCGACTATTGAGAGCATTGTATATGCACTCAAGGCTTTGGGCGAAGACCCTGAGAAATTGGATGGTCTGCTAGAGGTCTTTAAATCCATGGTCGGAGATCAGAGGCAATGCAAAGATGAAAGATTGAGCAAATTCTCTGTAAAGCCTTCACAATCTTGAGCACTGATGTCATCATTTCAGTTTTCCATATTCACAATGGGACTCTTCATTAAATTGTTGGGATCTAATTGACAGTTTCTTGCCCTCTTGTGTTCTTTAAGTTAGCGTTCAGCATTTTATGCTTTTACATATTCTGCACATTACCTCTCAAATTACACGGAAGAATAATGTGTTGTTATATAGTATATACATCGAGGAAAGGCCTAGTAACTTCTTTAACTAAGTAACCCCATCTCATGCCTTTAACATTAAAAACTCATAGCAAGTCAAGATTAAGGCTGAAAGATGAACCAACTATCGAATCGAACTCAGCTTGGTAATAGTTCATTCGAGTTTGATTCGCCAACTAATCAAAGTCAAGATTAAATAGTTTTTCATATTCGATAACATTCAAACTCGATAAAGAGCTCGTTCAAACTTGATTTGATGAATAAACAAGTTAAGTTTGAACAAAATTTCAAACTCGTTAAAATAATCAAACAAATTTAAACAATGAAATGTTCAATTTAATTAGACTTGTTTACACACCTAATCAAGATGAAACTCAATAAGGCAAAATATCTTGATAACTATTAAGGTATCCACTGCAATTTTTAATTTAGTAATGTAAAACATTAACCATGCAACCAATTTGGTAAATTAGGTTCAATCTTTAAGCACCTTATTTGTTAACAATAGGAATTGAATACCAACCAACATTTATCCTCGAGGTGGGATTAGTTTGATAGGAACTTGTCCAACATTAATTTGTTACTTCATTAGACCAACCCCTAACAAGAATTAGAGTTAACTAACTTCACAAATTCAGACAGTGAACTCCAGTAAGCACAAATCTCGATTAAATTTAACATGAATAAGGCAAAGCACTGAATACTGTAAATTTAGGCTTGATAAACGACTGAGTAGTTCAACAAAGTGCAATCCAAATCCACGTCCTATTCTAATGAAAGTACCAATTTTAAGCCCAGTTCCAACCAGGCCCAAAACCCTTGGCAAAACTTGGAGAGAAGCCAGCAGCAAGTCTTGTACGGTTGTACCCAAGAGTGGCGTGGACTAGACTAATTTCTTCATTTCACCTGGCGAGCGACGACACCTGACGGACATCGCATTTGTCGATGCTGAAGCTCTTCGCGTGGCGTCGGACAACCTCTCGAGGCCTACCCAAAATCACGCCCTTACCCTCATCCCCAATGCTCTGTGTCTCTCGACTTCTGAGCCACTCTCCGTTATCTGATGAAGACGACGACATTTACGACCCTCCATTCTCAGCTACCTCCAAAACCCTCCTTAAACCCCGGGCCGGGAGACAACACAAGAAGAAAAATGAACAAAAGAAAGCTCGAGGAGGGAAAAAGGGTTCCTCGAATGTGCTTGATTCCCGAAATGCCCTGAATTTTCCGGTAAAGTCGGACCTACCCTTTGATTTCAAGTACTCCTACTCTGAGACCAACCCGGATGTGAAGCCAATCGGGTTTCGCGAACCGCCGAGGTTCTCTCCTTTTGGTCCTGGTCGGCTTGACCGGAAATGGACCGGGACGTCGGCCCCGGCGGAAGAGTCTGTGGATTCGGAGAAGTTGGCCGAGCAACGGAATAAGGTTCTTGGGGAACCTTTAATGGAGGAGGAGATTGCAGAGCTCGTGGAGAAATATAGGCATAGTGATTGTTCTCGCCAAATCAATCTAGGTATTTTCAAATTTTGTTTCCTTTTGATTCTGATGATTAAAAAAAAAAATTCACTCTTTTGCTAGGAAAAGTAATTAGAGCTTGATTTACTAATCAAACCAAGTCCAAGGACGTTCCTTTGAGCTTGGGTCAAGTGCTTTATCTCTTGCTGATAATTTATTAGGTATCTGAACTTATGTTTGAGGAAAACTTTTAAGCAGCCAAGGCATTATGGAATATGATTTTAGAGGCTGAAAAGTTTGTTTTAGGCTCCCCCTGTTATTGAATATCAATATGTTAGTGCGTGATAGGATTCAGTGGTGATGAGTTGGGAGTTGAGATTTTATTGGGTTGCGATTCTTGCTTAATACTGTGTTTAGTTTTCAGGATGAGGGAATTATGCATATTATGAAAACTCATGCTAGGCTCTAGTTGTAAAGAATAATGAATTGGGTTTTCCATCTACTTAATTTGATAAAGGGAAAGGAGGAGTTACTCACAACATGCTGGAAGACATTCATAACCATTGGAAGAGGGCTGAAGCTGTGAGGATTAAGTGCTTAGGGGTGCCAACTCTTGACATGGACAATGTTTGTTTTCATCTCGAGGTTTGGAACTGTAAACTACCTGTTAATCTCAAACCTTAAAAGTGTTTCATTTCTTTATTTAGTCTATCTGTGGTTTGTGCTCATCAGGATCACAGTGCGCTTGTAGGATAAATCTGGTGGGATGATAATTTATCGTCAGAGTAACGTTCTCCTGCTATACAGAGGTCGGAACTATGATCCTAAAAATAGACCAGTCATTCCTTTGATGCTGTGGAAGCCATATGCACCAATATATCCAAAGCTTGTGAAGCCTGTTGCTGATGGCCTGACATTTGACGAGGCAAAGGAGATGAGAAACAAAGGGCTCAACTCTGATCCCATAATGAAACTCAGTAAGGGAATTTAGTTTCGGGAGTTTTATACTGTCTGCCCATTTCTTCTCATGGTTAAACTCGCGAAATTAAATGCTGCTTTATTTGTTATGTAGAGCTGGTAATAGTTTTTGCTTCTTTTCTACAGCCAGGAATGGTGTGTATGTGAATGTGGTGGACAGAGTGAGAGATGCATTTAAGACCAAGGAAGTTGTTAGACTAGATTGTGCACACGTGGGGACTAGTGACTGCAAAAGGATAGGAGTTAAGTTACGGGTATGGCTCTTGTGGAGAGCAATAACTATCTTACATGGAATTTGTTTGTCTCAAATTGGTTGACCCGTACGTCTGATGCTGCATTTCTCATTCCCATTGCTTACACTGCTGCAGGATCTGGTACCTTGTACTCCTATCTTGTTCAAGGACGAACAAATAATACTTTGGCGGGGAAGGAATGATCAGATATACAGCTCAAGTGCAGTGGAACTTGCAACTTAAAAAGATGCTAGAAGTAGAAAGTCGTATACTTGGAGTTGAGCTCATTAACTTGGGTTTACATCTTGCTTCATTTCCTCCATTAATCACCAACCAGATTTGGGAAGCATGAGCTGACTGCTTTATTCTGGGATGAGGTCTTCCTGACTTTATGGCTGATAATTTGCCTATTCGCAGTTTTGAGTCCTAGGTTGTTGGCACATGATATGATTGAAAGGTTAAAAATTGAAAGCACTCGGTAGAAAGGTGGAATCTTATAGGCTATATAGCTAACGGATTGGAGTACCAATTTTATATTAGACTGTAGAGTAATCGCCTCCCATTTTGTCATTCGTATTTAGTGTCCCGCTGTGGAACGATGCCATTGTTGCGTAAAAACCTTTTTTCTTTTCGTCCAAATTTTATTTATCAAACAGATTGCAACTACTGATGCTGTGTGTTGTCTCTCTCTCTCTCTCACACACACACACACAGAGTTTGCGCAGCTCAGCATATACCAGCTCCAGACGCTTCCTAGTAGCTAACAAAATCTTGGTACCGTCCGTCACGTTATTCACCATTTCTAAGTACAGTACTTGATCAGTTATAACAAGTTCTTCTTTTGGTAATACTTGTTACCACTTTTATGTCAAGGGCGATGGCAAATTTGGATGTCGGCAACACGATGAGGATTTTCTTGCTGTCTGTCCGGATCCCTTGAAGGAACCAATCAAACTGTACTCAAAAGCTGATATCTAGTTTCTCTTACCTTTGAAAAAATCTTATCCTCGAACTTTCCACAGTTCCAGAAGACATAGGACCCAGATTAATGAAGATCACGTTAATGTCCTGCTTTGCCCAAGGGCCCTGGTTTTAAATTCAAAGTGCCGAGTACTTTTAAGGATTCAATCCACCTTCAGAAAATAACACCCTGGATTTAAACTCACATACCGTAAGTAATCTTCTTATACAGCAATTTAAGGATTCAGTCCACTTCCAGAAGAAAGGAAGGTACATACCGTTCTTACAATACCTTACAATACATAATAACAGTACAACACTTGCAGATTTGCACTCCTCTAACTATGCTGGTATTATACACTGCTTCAGGAGTTTGTGCAGTAGTTCATTTAATTAGGCACCCCCTTGAGAGAACAGTTTTACGGCTGCAATAGGAGCTTTCTCAAGTCACGACTCTCTTCAAGAATGCAACCCGAACTCCTTAGAGTGGTTATCCAGACCTCATCGGACCTCACTGGTTCATCATCGTCATTCCTATGCCAGCTCCAGAAAGCATGAGTGGAATTCACTATCTTGAGCTCACCATGACCAAAACTTGCTTCGCGGAACACTGACCATTCAGGCTGTTGATCTTTGAACCTGTCATCATTTCCCAAGACTAGTTAGACGTCAATGTGGAGAGGAAAAGGGAAGAACATGAATTGCAAAAAGTGACTTGTAAAACTCAATAATGACTCAACAGAGATATCAATGTTTCAAAACATCAAGTTTAACTCCTTCAGTCCTCCCCACCCTCCCCCTTTCCCCTCTCTCTGTGACAGACACACAAACAAACACAGGCACGCACTCAAAAAACATCCCTGCTTGGATCAATGTCACTCCCTTTTCAACTTCCCCAAAAGCTTTTTTTTTTTTCCTATACGCAGAAAATATTTGTTGCGAATGTACGACGGAATTGAAGTATTCCGGGAGAGAGAGAAAAAGAAAAAAGGACGCTTCATTAAACCAATAACTCTTGTTCACGATGCAATTCAGTTACTCGACCCAAAGAGCCATACTACATGAAAGAGGCTCTCTTTAATCTTTCTTAGGTGTGCAAGGGGATCAAGAGGAAGACTCACCGATGTGCTAAACCTTCTCTATTTCCTCCATCACCAATTGTTATATGTACAGCACCACAAGAATCCGATCTGCCATTGTAAACACGTTGCTGCGGACAAGGAACCAAATAATCAGGTTAGGTTCCAGATCACTCAGAAACAAGGGACCAAATAAGAAGTTAAACCAATTTGGGCATACCGAGCGTTCATAAGCATGCACATGACCAGCAAGTACGATATCCACACCGGCAGCGTTTAGTAAAGGTTCCATTGATGCCATCATGTTGTCACCTTCGCCTTGATGAGCATCATTACTGTTGTACCACGGCACATGGAATAGTGCAAGTAGCCAAGGTGTCTTCTCACGATCTACCTTCGCAAGATCAGCCTGTAATTCAAGGTTCAGTGAACTACTAAGTTTTCTTGGTTCAGAAAATTAATCATTGAAGACATATGTCCTATTCTATTACTCGACATATGCGCTTTTAGAATCATTTAAGAGCATGACTTTCTGTTAAAAATATCTTAGAGGAAACGAAATTTATAGACAAACCATAAACTTTTCCAAGCAAAGGAAAGAACTTGATTAGTAATCTGAAATTATTGTAATGGATATGGATCCTGGAATAGATTTGTTTTAAAAGAAACATAAGCAATACAACTCATATAAAATTTTTTGCTGAATCTACATTCCATGTGTTCTAGCTCATCAGAACAATCAAAGGTTGTGATTCAATGATTCACTTAGGCATAAATGTCTACAGCGGTACTGCTTCATGTTGACATTTAAATTTCAGAGCGACCTCAAAGCAATTCCTCAAAACCGATATGGATAAGTAATGAAAATAAATCTCTCCTTTTCTCTGCCCTTGATTATGTCAGACATTTCAGAAAGACACTAATCATACCCGTGGCCCTGATACTTTAATTACCTTATTTGGAAGAGTAGTGGGAAAATTATTGAAAGAAAGGCAATTTCGCGCAAAAGCATACAGATGTTCAAACCTTCAGCCAACTATATTGGTCCGAGAATTCATCATAATCTGTATATGAACCAAGCATGATGATATGTGCACCGGCAACATCAAATGAATAGTACAAGTTTGAACTGGATCCACTCTCCTCGTATGGCATTTTCCATCTTGCATTATAAGCAGCAAACGACTTTTTGATTAGTAGTATGTGCTCCTTTTCATGGTTACCTTGTGTCACCATCCAAGGCCTGGCACTGGCAAGTGGCTGCACCAGCTCACCAAATGTATCCCACCTACTCTGTATGTAATCAGCATATGAAAGGTCTCCAGGGAGCATATACACATCGTATATGCACTGGTCTATGTGATCTAAAGTTGATTTGGTCCATCCAGTTTGACCCAAATCACCAGCCACTGCCAGAGTGATTGGGAACTGGGATGGTGGGGTTTTGAACTTGAACTCAGGACCCTCTCTACCACATTGATAGTAGTATATGGTGTCATCCTCCAGTGGCCCAATGACAGTATGGTGTATCTTCCCTGAGCTGTACAGAAGATAACTGTACGATGTGCTTTCTCCTTGAGCAACAGAGTTATATTTTCCAGGTGACATCCCATAGTTAACAACTGAAGGAGCAGATTTATCATCTGTGATCCATGTGACACGCATGTGCTTATCCCCGGCCAAAGAGATATGAACCTACAGCAACTCAACAAGAGCGAAGAGGAAAGTCAAATTGTGCAACGAAAATATCCCTGAGTAAGAACAAGCAGCTTTACAGCCTTCATACATAAACCTGACAAGAAAGAATCAAAATAATCCTGCAACAATAAACAGCATCCACAAACTTTTGGCTACACTAAGAGTGCATTATGCGCTGGAAATCCAACATCAGTGACCTCTTGAAGCATTGAATCTTACTATTGACGGCTACATGCAAGGAAGTAAGAAGCACGCATGTACATCTATACATATAATACCTACAGAAAACAGTAATATAAGCTCTCCTACACTTTCTGAATGCTCCCTTTATTTTATTTTATATGCTTTTTTGTTTTCCAATTTTTAGCAACTAATATAGGTGAGCTGATCACAAGTCTCCCACAAAGATATCATCTTTCGATGAATAAGCTTGAGCTTTAACCATGACAAACACCAATTGACAACAAATTTCTGAAGACTTAAACGTACACACACTTTCTTTGAAACAATTCACACTCTTTTCATCAAAGCTCAAGAAAATTAACAAGATCCCGTTATGATAGCATCACAGGCAGTGGACTTGCTAACAACCCTTTATCCAAAATTCACTAAAACAAAAAGCAAACTAGTTTAAAGGACAAAAGAAAGGCCTTCCAGTTGATCCCTTTTCTTACCTGTTGGGGATGAGAAGAATGCTTCGGACTCCATGGAAACTGAAGATTTTTCCGAGGTGCAGGTCGAATGTAATCGCCGGTCGTAGCAGTTACATTTATCACTGAAACAACTGCCAATGAAACTACAGATACTAGTGTCTTCAGATTTGGCTTCATAACTTTGTGATCTTTTACTTGCTTCAACTCACCATTAATTAATAGGAACCAAGAACCAATAAACAGTAAGAAGAGAGAGAGAAGCAAGGGAAGCAGTAGGTAATAAATTTCCGCTCAATGGTGGATAATGTCCTTTTAGGAACGCTTCTTGTCCTGATTACAATTTTGTCTTCATTATTCCATGTGAACTTTATATTTGTATTTATGATTTTATTCTCGGACTTTTGTTTTCCTTTTTATTTTTTTAGGATCTCAAAAAATGCCAATACCCATTTTTTCTTTTTTATTCCGCGTAAGCTCTTTTTTTTTTTTTTTTTCGAGTGTGCCAAGTTGTAATCGAATTATATAAAATTTAATTTGATAATTTTGTCCTTAAAGTATAATCTCATGCAAGGCACGTGGTGAATTTCGATCAAAAATTAGTCGAAAACTTAAGTAAGAACCAAATTTGATCAATGTGAATTTGTAAGGGACGTAAAATTATATTTTTAAAAGTGAGAGATGAAAAAAGTTATTTTGTAAAATGTGAAGGACGTTTTGAACGATTTTCCCTTAAATTTAATCTTGCGTTGGTGATTAGCATAATGATACATTTGCAATATGGGGACCAAATGCTATTTGATTATGAGGGTTAAGGAAAGGGTTGAAGAGATCTTGGCGTTGGAACTAATCATCATTGTTGAGGCATAGTTCAAAGATCCTATCGCTCTGTGCTGACTAATTAGTTTTCTCCGCGCCCATATTTTTAAGTTGTGTACAAGATTCATTACAAATGCAACTTAATAATGATCAATTGTGTGGATTTAGAACAGAAGGAAGTGACTTTAGCCCTTTCTTTTCTTTTTTTTTGGTAATTCTTTCAGACTTCATTTCTTGCAAATACAAGCTTGTAAGTTGAGTACAACTTTCCAAAACTAAGTTAAGGGTCAAATGCAAGAGATTGCTACCATCGAATGGCAAAAAAATCCGTAAGCAACTAAACTTCAATAAATACGCCATAAAAATGAGGGCAAAAAAAAAAAAAACTGATTTGAATCTAAGAAAACTTCAAGCAATAGGATAAGAAGCATTCATGGCAATCCCGCAAAGCCCTTGCACATCATGAATGTCTCTTTGCATTCTGATGTATCCATCTTCACCCCAATCAACACCCCATGAGTTCTTGACTAACCAATACTTGATTCCATCTTCGCTTATTCCATAGCCTACGGCTGTGGCACCGTGGTCTAAATGAGTGCCGCATTCTCCTGTAAACACTCCACTGGAGTAGAACGCAAAATCTTGTCCACCAGCATCGATTGCAACAGATACAGGTTGATTAGCCACGGCTTTCAAGAGGGCTGATTCGTTATTTTCAGGGACGTCTTCATAACTTTTGATGGTTGCTGCAGGGGGATGTTCCTCATTTGCACTGCAACTGCCATCAATCCCCAAGTATGGATAATGTGATTCAGTTGTGAGGCCATGGTTTTTGATGATAAAGCTAAATGCTGAGTCCATTAAACCACCTTCGCAGCCTCGATCCTCATCTGTATCGCAGTCCACCAGTTCTTGCTCGGATAGCGAAATCAGCTCACCTGTTTTCAGCTGGTGAACTCCTTCCGTAGCTGCCACAGCTGAAAACGCCCAGCAGCATCCTGTAGATTGGGTCCAAAACTTTGTTAAACTAATCCTGCGAATCCCACGTCCTGTTATGATATAATGGCATCTTATTGGAGAAAACAAATATAGAGAAGAGAGAGAGATTTGTTGACTTACCACAGTCTCCTTGGTTCTTGACAGGAGTAACAGCTCCCTCCTCTCTCCAGTCCAAGCTAGATGGAACATCTGTAACATTCTCATATCTAAATGATGCTGACTTCGATGAAGTAAATGGTTTGTATCCATTGCGAGCCCGGAACTCCTCATTGGTCATATCAGCAAACCGGTTGATGCTTAAGCTGTAAGTCTTAGTTCCAGCTTTGTTAAAAGATTCGATATACTCAAAATTCTTCTTGAATATCTGGAATCTCTTTGCCTTTTCTGCATCATCCTTGTAAACACGTCCATAAGTTGCCATCCACTTTTCATGCTCTTCAACCATTGCCGCTTCATCATATTCATGCAACAAGCGGGACGTTGCTTGAGAAGCGCCTATCACCAACACAAAAAATGAGACTAGAATAGGCATCAATTTGAGCGGAACACCCATCTTCTGCTATATTTTCTGAAAAGATTCGACTGAGAAGCGCAAACTACGTCTATACTTGTGAAGCAATAAGTATTGGAATTGGGCTATGAACGGAACAGGGAGGATAGAAGTTAAAATTCTTGGAAAGCCAGGCCAGTTGTAATTTGTAAATGCAATATCAACAACCTCAGTTCTTGAACTAGACCAGTGAATGCAGCTACAACGGTATATACTCGCCTTGTTATTCTTTTTGTAATGTTACTATGAGCTGGGTTGCAAGCCTAGTTGGATCGACAAAATGAGGCAAGGAAAAACTCTGGTGAATATATATATACACATACATACATACATATATATATATATAGGCTGTGAAAATCGTTGCTTAACAAATATAACATGTGTTGAAAGTACAGTATTTCCATGCGCAATGATAGCCATCAAATTAGAGATCCTGGAAAACGTATTGACTTTGTCTTTGATTTGCCCCAATGCAGACTTTTTCTTTTGTGTACTCCAAAATCATTTACGAGCCTGAATTTTAAACCTATACGGTGCATCCGTGCAACTTTGTCGTGCAACCAACCAACTGTCAAAGCCTTTCAACAGGGATTTGTCTGTCAGCCAAGTATCGCTGGTCCTTGGAAACATTCAACTTCATACCTCAACTTTCATCTCCCGACAAATTTTGTTTTCCATTGCAGCTTTCTCTCAAAAGTCAAAACGAAGCTTTCCAAGTTTGATGCATCTGGTGTCGGGGGCTTCTCCAGAAAAAATTGTATCCACTCTCGGCCAGTTGTGGAAAGCATACTACATTTGATGTAAAATGCTATAACTTTGATGTAAACGTGAGTTGTGTCAACTCATATATTAATTAATGATTATATTAAATCTACAAGACTTTACATCCAAAATTGTAAGAATTACACCAACAAGATGATTGAACTAGATAGAATCAACTAGAGAGACCCTTAATCCGTGTCGCTATGATAAAAATTAAATCATCCCCTAGTTACTTTTTTCCCACTTTGGAAATGAAATCAAAATATCGACAGATACTATAACCCCCTTTTAATGTCATACTCTTAAATTGAAATTCAATTTTAGATTATGAAATAAGAGTTGAATTGCAACAATTTCAATCAAATTACTTCCATTGTTAAATGTATGTAGTAATCAGTGATTCAAGGAAATCCTAAAGAAACCTATACAATTTTCCCAAAACTATGCGTATTCTTTTCTTGCTTTCAATTGCACGTTAGCGGTTGACAAGGGTTCGGAATGCACCATCCCATCTTGAACATTTTCAAGGCCAGCCATAAATCCAAACTAATAATTGGTCTACCATTGGGCTATGAATTAAGTGCTTTTCAAGATATTTTTCAAAAATTTACTATAATATCGTGTATCAAAAACTTTCTTATAACAATACTAGTTTTTTCAACCTCACGCGATGCGTGAGGATGCCCTGGCTATATGTTAATCAAGATCAAATGAAGGTAAGTGGATTAATGTAAATTGGTTATATATTTAATACATGATAGGTGTTAATAAATGTGGAGATTTTGACTTTAGGTAAATTGAATATTGTTGTTACTCGTTTACTCATTTGATTTGTAATTTTCTCTTAGATAGTCAGTTTTTGGCTTAAGATCCTTGCGAATTCTTGATACTATAAATAAATGATGCATTCATTTAAAATGTACAAGTACATACAAATATCATAAATATGGTGACGCTGATCATTTTTAAAATTATGCACACACTATTTGTATCTAATCAAGAATGAAATAAGTTTCAACAAGATCAGTTAGGTGAGAGTGTGAAAACTTCACCTTATAAAACCACCAAATCCAGGTCTTCAATTGAAGAAAGAAACACATCCAATATGTTGCTTTCAGATGGCTTTCTCTCAAGATTACATAGGCAAGAGAGCTAAAACTCTGAATGAAAAAAATACCAATAAAAGTATCTAAAACTAAAGGTTAGGTAGTACATTACTTTTCTGAAATTTCTTATCAAGAATTAGTTCAAACATGTTCAAAAAATCTTTTCTTGTTATACATAATAGTGAGTAAGGCGCACTCAGATGTGTATATAACTAATTAGAATAAAAATATTTGTAATAATAATTCTCTTATAAAAGTGAAGTATTATAGGGGAAACAAGTGCATGGACTTAATTTGGGTGATGTTAATAAAGAAAAATTGAAGAAATGTGTGTCAAATATAGTAGATAAACATGGAGAAATTGAACGTAAAAATATGGGAAGATTCGAAGTTATGATAAAATTGTTGTTTTATTATTTTGTTACAGAATAAATCCATTTTATCCTTTATAATAAAGGCAAAAAAAATTTTAAAAAAAAAGAAGAAAGAACTAACAATGCAACACCGTAAAGGGCATCAAGTTTTATATATGGCACATATATGCTTCCTAAAAAATGCCGCTGGAGGGAGAGGGGAAAGAATTCTAGCGTTGAACTCTGGAGCAAGAGGGCAAGCCCAAATAAATGCCTATGAAATACCACTGGAATTGTCGAAATTTACAGCATAACCAATCTATCTGCCTATGAAATGCCACTGAAGTTGCTCAAAATTACCGGATAACCGGCCTGCCTATGAAAATGCCACTGAAGTTGCTCAAAATTACCGGATAACCGGCCCATGAGCACTGTAGCAACTCCAACGGGCACTTTTAGTATACTAGTTTTTTAGGCCTCGCGCTACGCGCGAGGTTGCCCTAACTTGTGTTAATTTAATTTAATTTTATGGAGTAGGTTAAACGATGATAATCGGTAATATGATTGCATTCGATAATTAGAAAGTCATTTTGTATAGAAGGTATAGATGTATCAGTGTATGTATATATCAACCGTTATATTAGTTGTTTTTAAACTGGTTTTTTTTTCCCCTGGTTGAAATATTTATTTTAAGTTAAACGTTCCTTTGTTGGAACACAAGGGAAATCGTAGTGAAGAACAAATTCAGTTTATCATGAAAATTCTTGTTTCTCAAGGTAAAACAAAGCAAGAAAGCTAAAGTGGGAAAACAAAAATGTTGGGCTTGAATATAAAGTATGGAGTAGAGGTGTTGAAATGGGTGACTTGGGTGGGTTTGGGTTGGATAAAATGGGTAATGGGTATAAGTGAATTAACTCATTTATACCCATTTAATTAGATAGGTATAAATGGATAAGTTAAAAAATGAATTGGGTAACTCAATTATCCATTTACAACTTATTTGTTTTAACTTTTGGTAAACTCATTTAAATTTATTTTTGCAAAACAAGTTATCAATTTATACCACTCTTTGTACCCATTATTAGTTTTAAATATTTATTTATAATGTTCAATAAATTTAATTATCAATTTTTTTTCATTTATACTCTATGTTACAAAATTATCTATTATTTAATAATTGAATAATAAGAATATAAAAATTTGAACTAAGTACTATAAAAATTAATATAAAAATTTAATTCAAAAATTTTGAACTTATACCATCTATTCATGGACCGATATAGGTAAATTTAATTAGGTGGGTTGATTTGTCACCTCTAGTAATAATTGAATAATAAGAATATAAAAATTTGAACGAAGTACTATAAAAATTAATATAAAAATTTAATTCAAAAATTTTGAACTTATACCATCTATTCATGGACCGATATAGGTAAATTTAATTAGGTGGGTTGATTTGTCACCTCTAGTATCGAGCCATTATAACAATTGGTTTGAGTTTTATTAATATTGTCAACAAAATGGCTACGAAAAATGAGTACGAATTTGGGTTGAATAAAATGGGTAATGGGTATAAGTAAATTAACTCATTTATACTCATTTAATTAGATAGGTATAAATGGGTAAGTCAAAAAATGAATTGTGTAACTCAATTACCCATTTACAACTTATTTATTTTAACTTTTGGTAAACTCGTTTAAATTTATTTTTGCAAAACAAGTTATCAATTTATACCACTCTTTGTACCCATTATTAGTTTTAAATATTTATTTATAATGTTCAATAAATTTAATTACCATTTTTTTTTCATTTATACTCTATGTTACAAAATTATCTATTATTTAATAATTGAATAATAAGAATATAAAAATTTGAACTAAGTACTATAAAAATTAATATAAAAATTTAATTCAAAAATTTTGAACTTATACCATCTATTCATGGACCGGTATAGGTAAATTTAATTAGGTGGGTTGATTTGTCACCTCTAGTATCGAGCCATTATAACGGTTTTAAATTTTATTGAATATTTTATCATACAAAATGGCTACGAAAAATGAGTACGAATTTCGTCCAACATGGTAAGTTGTTTCTTCTACAATCTATACTGAAAATGTTAGGCCAGGTAAGATGAGGGTTTGAAAATCAAAGTCAAAAGGTAGATGCCACGAGTGCAGACCATCTCTCGCTCTCTCTATCTCTGTTGGGCTCAATGTATCCAAAGTGGCAAAATTTTCGTTGAAATGGAATTTCTCATTTCACATGTTAGGCGTAGCTGGTGTATTCGGCGGCTCCCTATTCAGTGCCCATAACAAAGCCACGCGGATAGCAAAGCCACACCACTGAATGGCAAAAGACCAAACTGCCCCTCAAGCTCACACAAATCACGCTATAACCGGCCCATTTTCACTGTAGCTAAGCCAACTGACGCTTTTAGTATAGTAAAGATATATATATATATTATTTTAATAATAAAATTACATATGTATCCCTAATACTTTATTATATGTTAAGAAAAATTATTATTTTATATATTTTTTAAAAAATAAATAATTATATTTATTTTTTTTAAATCGAGCTCGAGTTTTACATTGAGAGCTCGTCAAGTTCGAATTCGAATTCGAGTTTGGGAAAATTAAATTGAGATCAAGACTCGTTTTAATTAAGTCAAAACTCGACTCGACTCGATTCATTTGCAACCTCATTTATGATACCAAAAAATCTTCACGGTGCATTTAAAAAAAAATAAATAATTATATTTATTTTTTTTTAAATCGAGCTCGAGTTTTATATTGAGAGTTCGTCAAGTTCGAATTCGAATTCAAGTTTGGAAAAATTAAATTGAGATCAAAACTCGTTTTAATTAAGTCAAAACTCGACTCGACTCAATTCATTTGCAGCCTCATATATCGTATATGATACCAAAAAATCTTCACGGTGCATTTCAAGATGGGCGGTGACTATGTCGTTATGCCAGGTCCGATTCCGATATAAAATGGTGACGAATAATCGGACTCGCAATAACCAATCACAAGCCTGATAAGCGGACCAAATCAATTGAACTCAAATTGCAAACTCCCGCTTTTAGTATAGGTAAGAGTAAGGAAAGGATATATTGTGACATTTTTTTCAATTTTAAATTTTTGAGATGTTTCTAAAAAATTTAAGAATTATCCCCACCTTCCTTCCTTTCCCTCCTCCCTCCCACCCAACATCATCTCCCTTCTCGTGCCCCTCTACCATCTCACTCTCCTCCATCAACACTACTTCCCTTCCTGCTTCCTGCTTCCTGCTTCCTCCTCCTCCTCCATTTCCTCTCTTCACCTTCTTCCACTTGGTCTCCCTTTTTCCCCCACTTCCTTCTCTCCTCCCCAGCAATCGAATCTAGTCATCTAGGAAAGGAAAAGGGGAGAACAAGGGGTATGCGGAAAAAGAAAAGAGAAGGAAAAGATGATAGCGCCATAAAAAAGAGAGGAATAGGAGATGAGGAGGTAAAAGGAGGAAGGGAGGGACATGGTAGGGATCGGGATTATTACGAGGAGCTAAGGATGAAGGGGGGGCCCGAAGGGGGGGGGGGAAAGGGGAGGTACAGTCACGGTGGAGGTGGAAGAAACAAGTGGTGGATTCTTTTTCAGTTAATTTTTGGTGTTTATGTTATAGGTATATTTCAAATATATTTGGAGTGTTGTATTGCAGATTTGGAATACATTTGGGGTGTTTTAACACTTCGAATACAAGTTTTTGAGAAAGACATGAATCCAAACAGACAGTGACACACGACATTGGAGAGCCACAAACACCAATACTTAAACCAATAATTCTAGATTTAGGATGGCAAGCATTATAAGCGTCACTATTAGAGATAAACCAGTCAAAATCCTCGACATAATAACAATACTGTAAACCTTCATCACCATGAAACAAGCCCGCCCGCCCCAACAGCTCCCAAATTGATGGAGAGTCATAAAGTAACGAAATATATAAGAGCACATATGGTTCTTAGCCCTCCCATAACGGCAAACTATCATTCAGCCAAATACCGCAACTCTCTTGATTGGACATGTTACGAGCGTGAATAGCAAGCAAATACCCTGAACAATCTCTGAGGCTTTCATATACCAAGTTGCGTAGACTGCCAAGGCTTGCAACTTGCAACAATAGATCACTGCAAATATTAGCACAAGGAATTTCAGTTGCTCATCTATCTAAAAAAATTCAACAAAGGAGGACAAGAACCAGGGACGTTTGCATCACTTCCTGAACCAACAAAACCAACTAAAAAAGTAACACCCTTGCTGGTTAATTCAGCAACAAACAAAAAACGCATAAAAACATTTCGCATTCTCCTACCTGCTGCGGCTGTTGGTAATTTGTATATCCAGGGTAACCTCCATAATATACATTTGGGTCTTGCGGAGGTGGAGCATATGCATATGCATCATAACCTTGTGTATAACCATAGCATCCACCATTCCACGGGGGTTGATCCGACTGTCCAAAATCAAGGAAAAGTAAGATATGCAATTATATGCAACTATCAACCGTACCAAGAGACAGAAAGATGGCCCAAACCTGCTTGTTGGAAGGACTACGCCCCCATGAAAGTCGAATACTTTGTAATCCCAACTGTGTACCATTCAAGCTTTCCAATGCTTGTTCCGCACATGCCCTAGCACAGAAAAATCAAAAGAAATAGGCCATCACGAACTGCAAAATTTACCACAACATTTTTCCCCCAAAATTTAAAGGTTACCTATTAGTGAATTGAACAAAACCACATCGCTTCCCTGCAGGTATCTTTACATGTACAACTTCCCCATATCGGCCAAATACTTGCCTCAAATTCTCATCTGTCACACTTGGGTCCAATCCACCCACAAATATCTGCACTTACAAGAAACAGTCTTAACTACCACACAGGTAACAAAAGTAAATCCATAACTAAGACAAGCTACGCACTGTTGTATTATTTGGATCACTTTCACCCTCATTTCCTTGAGTATTCTGATTGGGAGCTGCAAATGATGGATAAAGGTAAGAATGACCAGAAATTAAAAGGAAACTGTGAGTTACAGAGATATTATCAGTTTGATAAGACAGCTACTGCATCGCACACTGGAATGCCAAATGAAGTATTGAGACACCAATAGTACACTAAGTAAGAGGCACAACTGCACTTCTCTGTAGTACACCTTTCTTCTAAGGTATATAAATGTTTACTCATCCATTGATCAAAACTTCAGAGCTAACAATGATAAAGTTCATTTGACCAGCCAAAAGAAACATGCAAAAGAGAGAAAATTTATAACATTAATGCTCCAAAGCAGTACATTACATTAGACTTTAAAAGGTTTTCACTTTGACAAACACGACTCTAGTCACACTAGTCAAGCACAACTAAGAACAGCAATAGACAAGCTCTTGAATACATAAATGCAGCTTTACAGCAAAGTTTTTCATGTAAGTGGGCTTTTGGCAATACATAGCACATACTTTTAAGAATGGTCACCATAGATGCACTGGAACAAGAGGATGCACTAAATGCATAAGACAAGGAGAATGCTTGGAAAGTGCACACTATTTTCGGCAGGAAGAAACGAATAACTTGAAAAGCAAACAATCTCAATCTCTTAAGATTGTCATGCTCACTGAAAAAAGATTTAAGTTACTAACTTGACAGAAGAAAATGCAAAACAGCAACAGGTAACATTACACAAGATTTTTCTAGTCATATCCAATCATTCATGCTATGCAGTTTTGCCAATCCATGATTTTCTCACGCTCATGTTCTCATTGAAATGTCACATAAATAAAATTCCAACATAACTTATGCCTATTGCAAGACCGGTAACAACACTTAGTAAATTATACACCACAAAGAAGCCCATAAACCACACAAAAATCCAACCAAAAGACCTGTTTATCCACAAAAACATATTCAAGAAGTACTTTCACAAAGCTTCGAAATCCATGAATGTATGATCCTCAGAGATTCCCTTCCAACGAAACCTTAAAAGACTGAGCCTCAAAAGATTCATTGCACCAAAACCTCAAAAGACCAAATCAATTTCATTTCCCTGGAATAAAAACTCAATAAAAAAAAGAATTTTTACAAAATTAGAAGTGCAATAACTGGGTTGGAAGACTATAAAAAATCATTCCCCAGGTTACTAACAGAACCATACACCATGAGAAGACTTGGAAAAAACATTAACTGGTAAAAGATAAGGTAAAAAAACAATTGGCAATGGAAGAAATAGAGTATCCTTTGTCACCAAAGAAACTGGTCCATAACAAAATGGAATGAAGGTAGTTGAGGATCAAGTAGAATGAAGGAAGCGAGAAAGGAAATGAAACCTCTGAAGGAAAGAAAATAAATATTCCCTTCTAAACTCCAAAGTAAGAAACTGGAAAGTAAGTGTGTGTAGCATAAAAATGCCACAGGAAATCGAAGTAAGGAAGCTTATGGCATAAACAAATTAACTGACCTAAAAGGACTGCCACCCATTAAAGTGGAATCAATTCAGCTGAAATCAGTTCCAGGCCCCCCGTAAATGAGAGCCTCTCTGTTTCCTGCTTCGAGACAACATGAGTTTTATAAGATTTTTAAATTTTTAGCAGAAGTATATGAGCCCATTTTAAAAAGGTAAGTACTGGAAGGAAATGACTTCGTAAATTCCACGTATCTTCATGTGCAAAACTCAAAGAACATTCATATCTCAAAAGCGGTAAAAAACAACTTCCAATGCCTTGACTAGGAACTTATTGCTTCACCTACGACTAAGAAGTACCAAGAAAACAACAAATGAAACAGTCCAATAAAAAGAGAACAAAAAGCAAATGTCAATGCCCTAAATTCTTGCCATAGCACACCACCATCAATTAAGAGATGTCAGCACGACATACCTTTCTGATATTGCTGAACGCCAGCAGGTTTTTTGTTAGCCGCTGGTCCAATCCTCATGGGCCTGGTTAAGCATATGACACCATTCATCTCTGTCATAGCACGGAGTTGCTCACTCTCATCCCCAAACTTAACAAAACCATACCCCTTGGACCGTCCAGTGTTCCTATCAATAACAACTTTTGCGCCTTTAACTGACGAATAGACAGCTTTAAATGTCTCTTGGAGAAGGTAATCTGTCACGTCAGCAGCCAAGTCCCCAACAAATATTGTGTAGTCAGGAGAGTCATCGGTACGCCTCTCACCAGCACCAAGAGTAGCCCAATTCAAACGATAGTGTTGCTCGACATTCGGCATCAATGTGCCATTATACGTAAACAAAACATTTTCAGCCGCTGAACGACTCCTGAACTCAAGAAAGCCATAGCCCTCTGATTGACCACTTTGCTTGTTACGAATAAGCTTTACAGAAACAAGCTGAAAGACGACAAAACGAAGAATTAAAATCAGTCAAAAAAAATCTTTCCCGCCCTTGCTCAATCTCTACAACGAACACTAGCAATAACTCCCTGACTAAAATTCTAGTTTTTGATCTTCTTACAAAACATTACCAAAAGCGCCTCAAGAATATTCGCAGAGCTACAAATAATTTGGAATATCGAGGTATTAACGTTGAGTACAAGATAGCACCTGTACAAACCGAAAATTACAACGCCAAGGCCAATACTACAAGTGAACAAAAAGCCTGGCATGCACTTTGTTACCAAAAACAAAAACCACGCCTATATACAGAACTACAAAACCAAGTCTAGCACTGCATGCATTATATCTGCAATCGATAGCAAAACCTACCGTTTTTAATGAATCTATAAAGCCGGAGGTTATCATGAGGTTAAGAAACCAAACAATAAATCAAAATAAACGATCTTACTCAAATCTTCCCCAAAATTCCCCCAAATTTCGAAAAACGTACAATTTAACCAAATTCTCCTTATACCTCTCCAGTATGGAAAAAGCAGGAAGAAAGATAATTCTCGTCCATCCAATACTGTAAGTCCCCAATCCACAGAGAGCGAATCTCATTGGAGCCGGGTGAAGCAGCAGTCGACGGAGGCGCAATTCCATATTGCGTAGGCTGAGAATGCTGTGGAGCCGACACCTGCTGCTGGCCCCAAACCTGAGGATCCTGAGGCTGAACCGGAGGTTGCTGAGGAGGCATCATGAACCACTGCTGTTGCGGCGGCGGGTACTGTTGCTGCTGGTGGTGGTGGTGCTGTTGTTGATCCATCGGAGCCATGGGTGGAGGAACGACACCGCCTGGTTGCATCATCTTCGAGACGGAATCGAAGAAACCCTAATTCGAAGGGAGAAAGAAATATAAAAAGCACTAGTAGATACAGCACAGATATACTGGAGAGGGACAGGAAAGAGGGCACCCAGATGGAATGGGCCAGTAATTGAGAGGAAGATTTCTAGGAGATTGGGGGTATTTATGGGGTTCGAGAGCGGGCCGAGAAGACAAGGCGGCGCTGAGAAAGGGAAAGGGTCAGTGATGGGCTGAAAAGTACTATATGGATAAGCCCATTAATAATTTATAGACAAGCAATTAAGCGAGATGTTGGTAATCACCAAAACTTTCTTGTCTTCTTTCACATACTTTTCACTTAATTGTAGCTGCTATTTTCAAACGACTCCCTCCAATACGATTAGGCTTTCCTTTCCCCTAAATTAGGCTAAAGTATGTTATACAAATATTATCGTTGTGATAAAAAAAAATTAAGCACAATTATGTATATGCACGTAGAGAGTTATCTTTGTCCCAAAATAAAAATAAAAAAAAGTTAATTTAGTATCAAAATCGATCGAGGAAAATTCTATGATTCCTTTGAGGTATCATTCCCTATAGGGCTATAAATGATTTAAGGTACTATTCCCTATAGAGGTATAAACGAAACTAATCAATCTGAATACTTTAGTGTTCAACTTTGTTTTGATTATTTTAATGAATTTAAAATTGTGTTTAAGTTTGATTTATTTATTTGTTGAATCAAGTTCAAATGAGTTTTTATCGAATTAGACTTGAGTTAAGTTCAAATAGTTTGAGCTTTTTACTTAAAATTTTAATTTTATACTAATCAAACCAAGTTTAAAATATTATAAAATACAACATGCTGTTCAAGTTTGGTTTGATTAGTTCGTAAATCAAGAGGAAGAAATTGTGATCATGGAATAAGCGATTAGCCCAATGTACGATCAATGGGTTAATGTCAATTTCACGTACACAATGATTGATACATCTAATTCATTCATTTATATTACCTTATTCTCTGGCTTTGTTTTAACTAGTACCCTAAAGTGTGTAATTTTAAGAAAAAGATATTAAAATGATTAGAATTACCCTTGTTAGAAAAATAGTAGTTTAAATGAATGTAGTTGTTGTAAGAAATAAGGCTCTATTTGACAAATATTAACTAACACATTTTATTTGGCAACCACAAATTAGAACCCCCCCCCCCTTCCAAAAAAAAAAAACAGTATTATGGTTCAGTTTACAGGAGAGGAATGAAAATATGCACAATTTAAGGTTTCAAACCTTATTTGGCAACCACAATACGAAGTGGAAACACCCTAAATGCGTGCATCTTTTAACAGGGTGGCTTCTTGTATGGTTTGAAACAAAGGTACAAGCTGATCTCAGAGCACTTGCCAAGATTGGGGTTTAGGGGAGAAAATAAGATAGAGACAGAGACAGAAAACTTGAGTTATGAGAGAAGAGGTAGAGAGTTTTTTTTTTTTATCAACTCTTTTGAGTATAAAACTGGGGTTTTTAAACCTTTAAAATGGCAATACACAACTAAACCAAATCTCTCAGGTTCCATTCTTTTTCTTTCCCACAACTTTCAAACAAGGAAAATATGACATTTCTTCTCATTATATAATAAACTAACTAGCAAGTGTACAGATTACAGTTTGACTGGATACTGTCTCACCTCATACCACATTTCATGCTGTGTGTGTTTGTGTGTATTTTTTTTTTGGAAAAAAAAAAACCACTATAATATCCAAATATAAACTACGAATGCATGGAACTCAGCAACTTAAGAGCCAGCTGCTCTTGCTCAGCCAGAGAAATGGAGTCTGCAGAACCACCCTGTTTGTCCTTTCTCGTCCTCTTACCATCATCACTGTCACTGTCAAAATATATCTTCGTCTTCTTATTGACTCTATCTCCACTTTCTTCTGTGTCTGATGCAGAAATATTCACCTCACTACCTACATCTGCCTCCTCTCCTTCCCTTCCTTTCTTCCACTTCATTTTCTCCTTGATTCTCTTTTCTTTTCGCCGCTTACGGTCCAAAATCTTATCTTCCTCATCTACTATCTTCAATTCTTTCCTCAGGTCTGCAAATCTTTGCTTAACTGAGGCATAGGAAATGTAAAAAGTCAGAAACAAAGAAGTACTAAAATCTACATTGATAAAATACAAGTGCACACACTTAAAATCTCCAGGTTTATAGTATGCATTCTGTTCCCTTTGTGCCAATCACTGAACTCCCAATATCATCCAAAATGAGCCATGAAATTTGGTATTTTTCTAATATAGTAAACAACAAGCACAAATCCAAGTAGTCTAAATCTTCTAAAAAAATGGTCACGACTTCATGATATCATTTTGGGGAATAATGACTTCAAGGAGAACCAGAACTGAAAAATCTTTACCATACCTATACTGTTGATATCATATATTAGCATAACGTAACCAAATTAATTACCTTTGTCTTTGTCCAGATGAACCAAGTCAGCACTTCTTTTTACATCAGCCAACTTTGCGAGAGGGGGTAAAGTGTTGCAGTCTTCATCAAACACAACCCTGGTCCCAACTGGTCGATGCACATTGATCTTCAACTTCTTTTTCTTTAAAACCCTAGTTGCAGGTGGACTACCAAAACATCGGAGAGTAAGAACTGGCCCAAATATTTAAGATCAGGATACAGCATGAGAATATCAGAAACCATTTACTAAGTGGCCTATTAAATTTAACCAGGACTAATTGTGAGCCAGGTAAATGAAGTGTGTTATCCAACAGTTATGTATCATGAAAATGCATTCTTAATTTATGGGCAACATACAATTCATCCATTCTAAATTGAAAATTGTCTTATGAACAAATCAGAGAGGTGCATAGAGCAGATAAATAAAGTCTACTGCATTATGCCAGTCAATTATGGTTTACATATTTCTTAATCACTAATCTAGAGTGAGGACTGAAAATTAAGTAGCTGGAAAGTGAATAACATCTTTCTTTATTTGATCCCCACAAATTAGTTCTTAGGTCTAATATGTAAAGTAAAATACCCAAAGAAACAAAAATAATTACCCAGCATCTCCAATTTCCGTAACTTTTTCTCCGCGTTGCGTGTCTTCTTGCAGAAGAAGAAATTTGTCTTCTTTTGCTTCTACTCTGTCTTTCTCAGCTTTGCCAGTGTCAAAACTTTCTATCTGATCTTCATTCAAGTTGTCACCAACAGTACTTTCTTGTACAAGAGACAATTCCTCAGAAGCTTTTCCCTTAACTTTCTGTTTCAGAAAACGAATCTTGGGAGTCATTGGAAGGCCTAATGATGCAGAGAAGTCATCAATTGGGAGTTTCATCACATCAAAGACCTCCTTATCCCGCTGTTTATTTATGGACTTCAAATATGTAATAAATGCTCTCTGAGCCAGCTGCTGCAGATTGGGGTACTTCACCAACAAAGCTGCTAACAACCCAGAAACAGGTTGTAACCTTTTCATATTTGCCTGTGCCGATGACCAAGGAGCATTTTTAAACACGTAAAAATAATACATGATGCAAATGTTGCTTAAACTTAATCATATTTAACAAAATGAGAAAAAGAACCTTGATAAATCGAATGGGTATTTTCTTCTCTTCTAACTTTTTAAGCATTTTCATTTCTGAAGGCAAGAGAAATAAAACAGATTTCCCTCCGGAAAGGTAGCGAGCTGTTCGGCCCACTCTATGTATGTATGCAGCAACATCTTCAGGACAATCCATCTGGAAATCAACAAAGTTAACAGATTAATGACTCCTTTTCTTTGGTAGCTTGTCCAATAAATTAATCAGATCAAGTGTTATCTTTCAGTATCTATGGCCTACTTAACAAGTAACTAACCTGGACAACCCAGTCAACAGCCTTATCAAAATCAAGCCCCCTTGAGGCAACATCAGTGGAGAATAAAACTGAACGTTGCTCACAAAACTGGGAGTATATGCCCATTCGTTTTTCCTGTTTCATCCTTCCATGAAGACACTTCAAAGGGATCCCCGGACGAAGTTTTTTAAAGGTCTCAAAAACAAACCTTACCTGTTATATAATATGAAATGAAAATAACAGGACAACAAAAATGGAAAAAGTATGAAACCAAGTTGAGTGAAATGCATTTATTTTCTTCTCCAGCAACTAAAGAGAGCATTAGAATAACAGAAAAGTCCACAAAGTACACATTAAACTGCATGAACCACCATGAAAGTATCAGTTTTTGCAATTGCTTCTGCTCTCAATTCCTAAAGGCTCATTTATGAAGCATGCTAGTAGTAGATCAAAATGCAATATCTAGACATCTATCTGCACAGCCCAAGATTCAATGATGTGATATCTGTTGAGAGATTTCAAAAGAAACTAAGAGAGATGTTAAAGCCATTATAGCCAGATCCAGCAGACAGAATTACAAATCCTACAGGTTCATACCAATGTTATTTTCACCTTCTTGTTTGTTACTTCTTTATACATTTTAAGCCAGTGACTTGTGAATAAATGGTTGACCCCCAAAAGCAGCAGAAACAATGACTTGCTCGGAGATATGGCATCAAGATTGGCATCTATTTAGCTGGATTGGAGTCTCATAGAATTAGATAACAGCAGCTTTAGCTTTTGGCTCTCTCAGCAGTTCTGCTTTAAAACTATCTGCGATGCACTCAGACAAGACAGACCTCTGAAGGTAATATTTGTTGAAAGAGATAGATGGCACTAAATTCAGCAATCTAAGAGGATGGTGATCATGTTCCAAGTCTATCCAGAACAAGATTGCTTAAATAGACAATATCAGGAGATTTATTTCCGCGTTTACAGAGAAAAATATTTATGCAATGTTCTCAAAAAAGAAAGTACATATCCGGCTACTTTAAAATGCTTGGAGATTGTTCTCATACACGCACAGCAAATTTTGCATTCAATTACAACAGCTAGCAAGTTATGCATGAGAAATTTCTTCATTTTTCAGGCTCTGCACCTGAATATCCCAATTCATAATAAAGCTAAAGCAGAATTACCTGCTTGCAGCTTGAAAGAAACACCAGTATCCTCGAATTAAGATGTGCCTTTACAAAGCTCCATAACATATCTAATTTTTGCTCAAGAGGAACAATGATTGCTGTTTGCTGCAGGCGATTGGGAGTTGCAGTTTCTGCCTCTTCATGCACACTAAGGTATTCTGGATCTTTCAGACTAAGCCTAGCAAGATCTTGAACAGATTTTGTTTGGGTAGCTGAGAACAGCAAGGTCTGTCTATCCTTTGGCAGTTGTGAGATAATAGCATTTAAAGCTTTCTTAAATCCTACATCAAGAATACGATCTGCCTCATCAAGCACCAGAACCTGTATCCTGGCCAGAAAAACAAACCAAGTCGGCTACTAAGGAACCATGAAGATTTCATAAGGAAGCAAAAACTTTAATTTTTGAACCATAGTCATGTTTTAAAAATTGTCCCTATCTATCGTAGCTTAAAATTTATTGTACCATTAGCACATCCTTTAATTTCACTAAATATCACTAACAACCTCCATACAACTTGTTGAAGCGTAATAAAGAAAAGGTCCAAAGTAATAAAGTCTAATACAAACAAAATACATGCCACCCCTGCAGACATGAAATATTAAAAGATGCTGCAAAACTTGTCCATTTTATGTGCTTAGGTGAAAATATGGATGAACTCAAACTACTGCCCGAAAAGAATTGTATAGAATTTTGCAGCAATTGAATCCAACAACAATAAATTACATTCACTGATCCCCTAGCAACCGATGAACTGAAAAAGAATTATTCTCGCTTTTGTAGAAGAAAGCATGCACAGCTACCAAGTCAAAGATCAAGTTTCCAGTCCATTAAAGCGAATATAAGAAAGTGCAATAGTATATGGCAAATGCCACATAAAACTTAGTCCATGGCACTTTATAAACAACTAAGCATGGACACTGATGATTCTTGTTTCTTCAAATTAATGTTCACAGCTTGTTACAGGAACTAAAGTTACTGGATGACAAAACATATCATACACTGTGTATATGTACACAGGAAATGCTAACACTGGAAGAAGAGAAACTCTAGGAGAAAGTCAAAGCAGAATAGAAGAACAAAGATCAAATGAATATATTGACCTGGAGCTGTGAGCAGTCGAAATTTGGGGTTTCATCCATGTGCTGAAGAAGCCTTCCGGGAGTGCACACCAAGATGTTCAGATCATTAACATGTTCTTTCTCTGTGTCAACATCTTTACGGCCACCAATTAGAAGACCAGCACTAAAACCATGGTATTTTCCAACCGATTTTAATACTTCAAAAAGTTGGCCAGCTAACTCCCTTGTAGGAGACATTATAATGCATCCAACTCCATCTTCTGGACCCCATCTAGCTTGGTATAACTTTTCAAGAATCTGTCGAGGAGAAACAAGACTCCATCACTACAAGAAATTAAGATGTGCTAAAAGTGCACAAAAAGGGAGGGGGAAAAGCAAGGAATATTAACTTGTTAAGCATGAAAATCAGGAAAAGCCTTCATTTTCTTTTCTCCCAATTTGGGGGGGAAAGAAGGGGAAGAATATCAAAATTGTCAAGCTCAATCATCTAACTTTAAACAAATACACGTATGAAACTTGACAACTAGAAGCATTTCTGTCTTCAGGTCTCAAATTCCGCACTTTACATGGAACTCTTAAATCCAAATTATACTGATCTTTTAGTTTGAAGTTCAACCTAATGCTGATGAGTCCTTTTACAGAATTTAATGCGAAAGCCTCAATCTTTTTAACTCCAATTGAAAAAGTTTAGAATACAAATGTCAAAGAGGAGAAAGAGGAGAAAGAGACAAACTTAACTTGTCAATAGAATAAAAGCATAAATTGCCATCAATCAGTTGGATTTCTGAAAACTCCTAGGATAGGCAAGAAAATAACCGAAAGTAACCCAATTTTTGGTAAATTGCAATCTTCCATTCATTTTCCTAATCGATGAACAAAACAAACTAAAATATCAACAAAAGGAGAACATTGAACACGTCCAAATTGAACATTTCCGTCTTCTACCAACCAAAAATCAAGTCTTTCACACCAGCAAGCATAAAAATTGACCAAAATAAGATTGAAAAAACAAACCAAAACTGTGACAAATTCAGCTGAAAACCCACCGGAATAACGAAAGCCAGGGTCTTACCAGACCCAGTTTTAGCAGCACCAAGAATGTCACGGCCGCAAATCGAATGGGGCAATGAGGCCCTCTGAATATCAGTCATGTTTTTGTACTTAGCTGCAGCCAACCCATCTTTAGTTTCCTTCGACAAAGGCAATTGGCTGAACTTTTTACAACCCGCGTAACGAGAAAACGAGCCATCGGATAGCCGGCCAACCGGAGATTCATCTGGTAGCGGCTGGAGTGAAAGCGGGTTAGAGCCCGATCCGGGTTTACCGGATTCAATCCATGACTCGAGGAGCTCAAGTTCTTCAACCTCGGCTTGACGGCTCTGGATTTTGAACTTCTTGGACTTGGGTTTTGGTCTTCTCATGTCTGTTAGAGGATTCTGAGATTGAAGGGTTGCCGGATTGAACTTTGTGTTAACCACGGCGATGCGGAAGAATCTGGAATCGATTGGAGGGGTTTAAAGGAGTTTAGCAGGAGAAGATTTTCCGGGTTATAAAATTTGTGCACCAGTTAAAACTGGAAAATTACGTTTGTGCATCATAATTATAGCCAAAGCCAAAAATTGGCCCACTTTTTTCTGTACTAGTGCTACTTTTAATATGGGGTGTTTTTTGGAAAACTATTTAGACCCTTCCTAGGTTTAAAATTTTCAAGAGGGGGGAAAATATTAAAAGCTAGATACTAGTTGAGGAAGGAGTCTAGAATACAGATACACACGAGTAAATGTATTTTATTAATTAAGCACTTATTGGAAGATTTTAAATAATAAAAAAGATAAAATTCTTGAAATAAAAAAGAAACTTAAATTACATAGAAAATTTACACTACGCTCTCTTGTGAGAAGAAAAAATAAAACATAAAGTAAGGTCTTGTTTGATAACTCCGTTCAGCACTTGAATTTAATGAATTCAGATTTTAACATATTCCTGTTTGATAACAAAAAATTTGAACATTTGAATTAATTAAGTTGCATTGAATTTTCTAGGTAAAATTTACTTCCAAAATTAAGTGATAAACTGTTCACTTACCACTGAACGTGATATGCACTTCAATGTATTGGATTTAATATTTAACAATTTAATAATTTAATGAATTAGATTTAATGTATTAGATTTAATATTTAACAATTCAATAATTTAATGGATTCAGATTTCAGATTTTAAATCTTAAATTTCAACTTTTAGATTTCAATATTTTATCAAACGCACCTAAATGTATCAAGGTGTCACAAATCTTTCATTTACTTTCCTATTTCTCCGTAATAATACTTCGGCTTTTTCCTTATTTTGTTTTCAATTCTTTTCTTTTATCTCAATCCTTATTCTTTTCTAATGCATTAGAAGTTATATTAGTTAGACCATTATGTTATCATCATCTCACGAGTTCAATTAAAAGGAAAAATTCAGCATTTAAATACTCTATATATATTTTTAAATTTCTCTCACATCCTTTTCACCCTCTAATTATTAGACACAAAATTCTAACCGTAAACACTCTAGCGGATGTTATTTCTGAATAAGGCCTTGTTTAATAATCTAATTCAGCGCTTAAATTTAATATATTCAAATCTTAATATATATAGATTATTTAATAATAAAAAATTAAACATTTGAATTAATTAAGTGACACTGAATTTTTTAGATAAAACTTAGTCCAAAAATTAAGTGATAAACTATTCATTTATTACTGAATATAATATACACTCAAATATATTAAATTCAATACTTAAAAATTTAATAATTTAATAAATTCGAATTTTAAATTTCAAACTCCAATTTTCAGACTTCTGTTTCTTCAAACGCACCCTAAAAAAATTGGACTGTAAAGTTTTACGTAAAATACCCAAAATTGTATTTGTACAAGGAAAAAATAATCTGAAAGGTCTGGTAGGCGAAAAACACGAAGAAAAAGGCATCACCAAAAATTGCAGCCTAATGTCCGGGTACATGAGCCAAAAGGAAAAAGCATGGCAGCATTTTACATTGCACTAAAGCCCGCAAGTTTCATCTAATTTTCGCTGATCGTGAATTGTCTTCCCAAGCTGTGCAAAACAGCAAGAAGCCACCTCCTCCACCGCCACCACCACTTCAGATCTCTTCAGCAACCTTTGAATCACTAGTTTGTCTTGCCTTATAAGCACAAAAGCATATATATATCGATATATACTAAGTGTTGCGAGAGAGAATCAGGCTGTAAAATTGGGAAAGATCATAAAGATGGGTCGCAAAAATGGGGGGCTTTTGCCAGAGGAACAAAACGGGGCCTCAACTTCAGCGAACAATGCTCTGGTATTCATTACTATGTCCATCATTGGCTTTCCAGTGGATGTGCATGTGAAGGACGGCTCGATTTATTCTGGAACTTTCCACACTGCTTCTATCGACGATGCCTATGGTGCGTTTACTGTCATTCTAGTGATTCTTTATTTTTTCTTGTCAACGTTTGGAATTTCTTCTTTTCCTTACTGGCTTATGTTATTTACGTGAAATTGTATCCGGGTTTCAATTTTCTCCTAGAGTTACTCCTGTAAAGATTTCTATCTTTATTGACTTGATCAACTTGGGATGCGATTTGGTATTTTGTTTCCTGTTTCTTTTTTCGACAATTCTATTGTACATATTAAAAAGTTTGATAGCTTTGATTGGATTTCTATTGTGTTTAAATAAAGAGGGGATCTTTAGGCCTAAATTGCTTTTTTACATCACCTCTCCATGTTCAGAATTTAGCTTCTGAAAATTGTGAGATTAAGAAGGACTCCTTATCTTTGGATTTGGCGTTTATCCAGGTATTGTTTTGAAGAAAGCAAGGATGATTAAGAAGGGCAATCGACAGACAAATCTAGCTGATGGAAGTCTGATAGAGACACTTATAATTCTGTCAGAAGATCTTGTTCAAGTTGTTGCAAAGGTATGCCATAGTCCATTCTTTAGCTATTGGGAATTCTTGATATTTTGGAGTCAAGCAGGACAACCATTTGTGTAACAAACTCGATGGTGTATAGGAATTAATGCTACCAGCAGAAGGTATCTCTGGAAAAGTTGGAGCAGCTTATGTTGTGGCTACAGCTGGCACTTTGCCTCAGAATGTACGTGAAGAGAGGGAGGCAAATGTAACAAACTCTAAAGAACCCAACTTGGACAGAAAGCATGATACTCATGCGAGGTATTTATTGAAGTCTCTATTAATGTTATAATTTTTATGACTCTATGACTATATGCCTTAATCTTTATACGATTATATCGTTGGTAGTGCCACCTGGTACTGGTTGATAGCATTAGATGAAAGTTCTTCGTCATGCCAGTGAGGCCCACATCATGATTCTCGCTTTAGTTTTTGATGTTACGGGTGTAATAGTTGCAATCACTGGCTGAAATTTTAGTTAAAGCAATTGCTCAAATTGACTTTTACAATTTTTTCGCCAGTCTCTTTCTTTTGCCTCAACTGTTATTGAGCCTGGTTGTAGAATTTTCAAGTGCAGTTGATGACTTTAAGTTGTGCTCAAGTTTAGTTTAGGGCTTGAATTATCATTATGTTCATGCTTGCACATTTTGATTTTGGTTCTATAAATGCCCCTGTGCAATGTCAACTGAATCTGATCTTGAAAATATAAATGCTATGTTGTCCCTATCTTTTCAAAATAGGTGAGCTGTATAATATTCATTTCATAAGTGGTTTATTTCTAGTTAATGGGTACATTTGTCATGTGCAGGTTTGTCCGTCCATATAAGAATAGCTTTCAGAATGGTTCTGTTCACAATAATTCTGTGCCAATTGCAAATGGAAAATCAGACTGCAGAAACTTGGTCAAGGTAAAGTTGTAACCTAAGAAATCTTTTTCTGTAGAAAGTCAAGTTATAACCTTGTGTTACATTGCAAGAACTCCAGTATATGTAGATGACAAGTATGAGCTTCTGTACATGCCTCCATGTCACATGCTTATCTTTCATCATATTTAGATCTTAAGATTTTTTATACATTTGATGTTTTTGGATGCAGGGGGGAGAGGCTTTCACCGTTTCACCTAATATGAGGTAGGAAGTAGTGGTGATTTTCTCATTCTTTGAGATGAATTCCACTATGCATTATATTTGTTGAAGGACATTATTACATTCATTTGTATCTATGCTGTGGCAAAAGGAAAAAAAAAGTTGAGGCGTCAAATATGAAAGTAGAAAATTGTAGTTTTGCTAGCATGTTTCCTAATTGATTCTTTAGCCCTTGAATACTTTGTCCTTGGCATGGAATTTATCACATTTGTCACTTCAGGATTCATCTTTATTGGTAATTGCATTGTGCTTTTTGCTTTTAAGCTATTGGATTTTGGTTGTGTGTATTTTGTTAGAGTTTTTTCTTCTAACAACTGTCTTTGCTTTTATAGAGCAAGAGGAGGCTTATGGACTCAATTTTTTTTTCACTCGTTTAATTTCTCTTGTTACCCTTACAACAAGGACAAAATAATACCACTTTCCCCACCGCCCCAAAAAAAAGCAAAGAAAAATAAAACACTCACATGTACAAACCTAAAAAACCTCCAATAACTGTCAAGAACTTGCATCTTTTTTTCTTATGAATTCTTTTCTTTTAATTTGCACAGAAAATACGGTGCGTTTTTCTCACTAGTTTATATAATTCTTTCAATTTCTGCCAAAATTATAGTGGTACTCATTATAATTTTCTGAAGTAAGTTTGCTTCTGTGCTATTCCATAAATATTTCTTGACAGACAGGTTGGAGACAGCTCAGAGGAAAAACGGAGTGATCTAGTGCAGGAGCAAGTTTTGCATGGGGAGGAAACGGTATGTTAAACAAAATATCCAGCTAAAGGATTTTACTATGTTTCGTAACTTAGTGATGTAATGTCTGTGAATGTTTTCAGACTGATCAAGTTGAAGGCTCAAGATCAAGCTGTGAGTTCTTACATATCTTCAGTAGTCTCTCTGATTTGATTAATTGGTTAATTGATCATTTATTTTCATACACCACTGATTGGGGAGGTGCTCACTTGTGAATGTTTAGGTTAGTATGTTTCATTAGTCTCTGAGGTGGCTAGGGTGGGGAGAAATGAAGGGTTATTATTAACATGGGAAGCTTATTAATGTTGATAATTGATTGGCATTGACCTTTATGGACTTGTCGTCAATGCTATATTTTAGGTGGAAAGTTTACTTTTGGTTGAACCTCCAGTGTGGAGTCTGTGCCCACATTGGAAGAAAACTAACTTACCTAGGGGCCTTGGTTACATTAGGGTGGTTTTGACTCTAATGTGTTGCCTCTAGAATTTATAGGCATATACTTTTCCACTGAGGTTTTTACATTCAATGTGTTAAATTGTTCACTGCCTATTAGGGAATAAGAGATCCTACTGCATTTTTTAAAAGCTGAAAGCATTCATCATGTTCGGATTATCAAATGCATTCAACTCCTAAAATTTATTCCATCATGAAATTATTTTTTAGTTAATATTAAGTCAAGTAGATGCCTGCATGCCCTGTTTAAACTTTTTTTTTTTTTTTGTTGGATTTTGAACTTTCAGTTCTTTGTATGCAGTAGATGCTCATTCCAAGGACATGAATGCTGGAACAAACAAAGGGGAATCACCAAATCTGATGTCTTTTGAAAGATCTACTGTGGCCAAGCTTGATGATCCAAGTAATCTGAGGCACACATTAGATAAAGCTCAGGAGACAACTGCTCTTTCCTCCAAAGTTTGTGCTGATGCTTCCTCTGGTTTCGGTGTTGCCTCAGATTGTAACCTCAGTTTGTCATCTGCTTCCACTAAAGTGGTGCTTCCAAAAGTTGCAAATCATGGTCTAACCACTAAGGTAAAGCATGTGTTCTTAATATGTAAAGTTGCTACTTAAGGTTGCTGTGAGTGCTTGAAAAGCATTAACTTCCCTTCTTCAGGACTTAATTTCTATTGCTAGCCCTTCTAAAGAACAAACTTAAGTGGTCTGAATTTTGAGAACCGCACTCGCTGTTGCTCTGTTGCTAAGTTCCCCTCTGAGTCAAACTGTTAATCAAATATTTTGAGAGCATTTTACACTATTGTCTTGTTGATAAATTAGAGTTTAGGTGATAATCTAGAATGTAAACTGCTACTGGTGATGCTTGCTCTTTTTTTCCTGTATTAAATGGTTCGATAAAAACCTTTGCTCAAATACTTGGTTTATTAATTTTTAGTTTCATAATGTCATCTCGTGACACATTATTCTTCTCAGGAATCTAAGCTCAACCCAAGAGCAAAGTTGTTTTCTCCATCACCTTTGCAACATAGATCAGCGACTCCTCCTGCAGTGCCATCGCGCACACCAGAACCCCCACCCACGGTATCAAATGCACCTGCAGATCCAGAAGCTGATTTGAGTTCCTTTGCCTATTGTTCTTCTGTACCTGCTAAGTTTCTTACGCGTAATAACCTGTTTCTGGGAAATGGCTGGAGTGATCTACAATATGTCCAGCCTGTATGCTTACCAACTCTTGTCATATTGTTTAATGATTCCTTAGTTATTATACAGTTACACAGTTTAATTCATCTAAACATCTGGAAGAGGGCTGATGGTGAAAAAATAATATCACAATATGATACAGGCAAAGTAATCTAGTAATGCATCTTTACTGGTAGCCTTCAAACGAAGTTCTTTATATATATGTTTCTGTCCACCATAGTAACAATACATCTATGAATCGTGACAGTTGTCTTCAGGGAACATTTGTCATATATACTACCATAATAGTATTGCAGAATTTGCTGTAAAAACACCTAAGGCCCTTTTATCAACTTTTTCATTTCCTTTAGCTATTCTCCTGAGACCATGGGGGTGGTTACTGTTTCTTCGGTATGTTGTCCTTCACATTTGTTTGTGTTTGCTTCCTCTATCCTCCCATTTCCATAGTACTAGTATCGCAAGCATTTTTACTTGCCCATAAATCATATTAGATTGGGAATCATGTGGATGACATGAATGTAAAACCAGATGATAGCGGAAATACGATTTTTGAAGGTTGTTTTTCTAGATCCTTGAAGCAGATTTTGGAACACTAGATAAGGTTTCATATGCAGGAACTTCCTTTTTCAAGCCTCCCACCTTTTACTGATAACTTGATCTTAAAAAAATGTCCAAAATTAGCCTGTCAAGTTTTTCTGCATGACTGCTATGGTTTCCCATTTTAACAATTAGGCTTGGGTTTTAGTTTATTAGACATGTTCTCTTTTCTTAAAACCACTTCTCTTTAATAATAATTGTCAAGTATACCTTCTTAGCATACTTCCCACTTATAAGCTCTTCTCTGAAAAAGGTAATAAATATCTTTAGTGTTCTTGTGTTGGGAAACTTGAAAGTGTTAAAGCTTTTAAAGATCTTCCATAATTTGTAAGTCCAAGTTAGTTCCTTTGAAAAGATAAACATGTCAAAAACTCTAGATTACATCAAACCCTTTGGCCTTGTGACATTGCCATCCAAATCATCACTGCATCTATGGGGGACGCTCTGTTTATTCAAGTTTTCAAATTCTGTGATGTTCATGTGGGAGATGCTAAGTTTTTCTGTTGTTTCATTTTAAGCTGCTACAGCAGATTGGTGGTTGAGATGCCATCTGTCCTATACTCTTAGCTCATCTTTTCCTGCATTAGTCATTAGATGAGATTGATAGATTGGATGAATTTTGAGAGCATTTGTCAGTTGTGCTACTATGAATGGTGAAGTTTAAAGGAAGAGTGACAGAACAAGTAATAAAAAGAGCAAAAATTAGTCAACGTTGGCAACTATTTGAATATCTGTATCTGTTTTGATATCTGTACAGTTTTCCACCATCTCTGGGATCTTTAATGATGTCAATTTCTCACTGTATCTTTGTCTCTTTTACGTGTAGGTTGTTGGACATGTGGGAAGCAGGACACCTCCAGTTAGATATGCCAATCAGTATAATCATCTTCAAGCTGGGACAACGTATCTGCATCAAAATTCGCAAAATGTATGTAGCAGGGGACAGTTAGATTGCTAGTTTTCTTCGTTTGGTTTTCTTTTTTATGTAGTTGGTGTGCTACTGGATTGCAGATAATTTAGCTAATTTGTGTTAGCATTCTTGACTTTGCAGATGACTGGGCGAGCAGGGCCGCTGTTTTATGCACTTCCAGTTTCTAATGTGAGACAACTTCTGACTTGTTTGTTCATAGCATAGGCAACTTTTATTGACTTGAGATTGCATCAGATGATGCACACACTGAGGGTTCTAGCCACAACCTGCTGGAATGTCAGTAATTTAAAATTGAACTTTTCCATGCTTCTTTGAGCAATACAGTGTCATCTATGATGGAATATGCTGCAACTAAGAAATTATGGTTGGGGGAGTTATGGGATGTGTTTGTATTCATTTTACTTTTAGTTCAATACTTCGCTGGTTAGCTTAAAAGTCACTGTTGCTGGTTGTTTGTGTTTCTCTCTTTCTTTTATAATTTCCTTCTTGCATGTGTTGTTCTTTTTTCACCATGCATATGTAATTTCTGATCCCTTCTTATTTTCACATCTAATCTCTTCTATGATATTAATAGGATGCCACTCAGGGTGTGGCAGGATATTCTCAGTTATCTTCACATCCTCTGCTGATGCCACATCAGGCAAATCTTCCCAAAAACCAAGGTATGGAGACAGTTCAGAGCAAGTATTTGAAGAAATCAACTTGTTGATTATAGTAGCTTAGTGAAATCTGAAATCTGATTATTAATTTTTACTTGTATTCTTTTTGTAGTTCACCTTTCCTTTTTACTAGGACAAAGGTAACATTATAGTCACAAGGGACAAGGGATATCTGGCATTATATAGTTTGGCAAATCATGGATCTTCAGATGTATGGATGAGGTTCAAGAGAAATGAAAAAAAAAATTCCTTTAAGGTCAAATGGTGTTGGGAGTAAAGCAGTTGATTTCATGTGCACTACATATGTAGACCTCTAGGAATTCTTAGAAGATAAGTTTATAGTTGCTGCCTGCCTTAGTAGTTGATTCATCTTTTGGATTGCTTTGCATAAAGCACATATGCAATTGCATTTTTGCAAACAGTTTGGTCATCTACTTTGTGTCCAGAGGGATGTACGGCTTTTGGTCAGATTGTAACTGATCATTCATGGATATTACTTTGTTTGTCTGCTGAAAGTAGTTAAAAGGGCCTCATTCTCACCCAATTGTGCGATCATGTGGATATTGAAGTAAGGCAAAACTTTTTGACAGTTTTAGTTATTTACCATGTTGGGAAAAGGAACCCTTGTCATGCTGACTACATATTCGAGTATATACCAGATTTGACAGTTTTCTTGAGTGAGTTGATTGTCATCTCGGGACATGAAAATATTATGCTAGTATTCTTCATGGTCTTTTATTTAATACTCAGATTATGTGATTGAAGTTTGTTGGTTGATGCTGCTTTTGATGAGAGACTTCTAAGAGTACTATTTATGTTGCTTACAAAAATTCTATTGTTTGTGTTCTCTCTCATTCTTCTTCTTCCCTCCATCCTGTTTGCCAGTCTGCATTATTCTGCTCAGCCTCTTAATCTGGAACTGTAAATGCATATTGTACACAATGTTCCACACTTTTTAATGCACACTCGGACACACATTTGTAACCAGAAAAATCATCATCAACTGCAGGAATCGCAACAATGCAAGCACTGCAGCTTTATGTTACTCCATTTTTAGCTAATGGGCAGCAGCCATATGCAGTTCCTTCGTACATCCCTATTTCACCTCCATTCTTTCCCAGTATGGGGTCCATTCCAGTTCCGGGATCTGATGGTTCCTTAAGCGCCAAATTTGTCTGTCAATCGTGAAATGGTCACCCCCCCCTGATACTTGTGTCCCCATGATGCAGAGGCCATTGATTTTGTAAAAGTGCAAGGGACCCTATTTTTGGTCATCTTATATCTTGAAGCTTAAGTCAATTTTTTGTTTGCCTTTATCCGTATTTGGTTGGAAGTGAAGGCTCTCGTACATATATGTGACATTTATGAGCATAATTAGGAGAACAATCGCTCCAATTCTTTTATCTTCATATCGTACTCAAGATGCTTCCGATGTGTTCTGGCTCTCGTATGCCTTGTCTAATATTTCCCATGTATCAAGATGTTTTGCTTTAACTTGTTTATCACTCGTTCCCATTCTTGTCACGGCCATTTTCCTTTACCGATCCAAGTGAGAGACAATCTTACTTTCACCGTCTAATTGGATCTTGAGCGACTGGTTGATCTTGCAGATCCTCTAAATACTTTCTAGGCAGGCGGCAACCTTTTCGTGGCCTCTTACCCGCTGTAGCTACCGTTCTACTACCTGCAAAATGTAATGCACGAAAGTAACCCTGCTACAAATCAAATCTCAAGTACTTCAAGCCTTTCCGTTCATCAATCACCAAAAAGATCCATGGAACCAGGTGCTGAAATACAAGAGAAACGGGATGATTTGAATGATGGAAAAAGAAAAGCATTAACACCTTGAGAAAAATCCCCAAAACCAGTTAGTTCTCATAGAGAAACACTCTCTACACATTGAGCACGGCCAAGCTCAGAGTATCTGACCTACATTACAGCTATTAAAATCAAACTTCTTTCACCTAAACTCTATGTTCGCACATTAACATCTAAAGGCCCTTGGCCAGGCCGGATTGCACACCAGGTTATGTTTGCCCCATTTTGCTGTATCACTCCATTCTGAGATGCTTACCAAATTCATTATAGAAGGATTAAAAAAAAAATTTTTTTGAGGTGACCCGCTAAAATCAGCAGCTTCTTTTTTAGAACAAGGTCATTCATTGGTTCTCTCGTCTTTTCCACATGTTTCTGGATTCAGCTTTTCTTGAGAGTCTGCTCCAGATCCGGCGGATGGTTCAGCTGGAGGCATCTGGTTGTCAAAATTTTCCTGCAAGGCCTTGATACAAGACACTTAACTTTAGTCTTCATTATCAAAACTATTACAGAGACGTATACATGTAAACATCGGTCTCGTGCAAATATTTGAAGTTAATGGTTCTTTTTTACCTGTAAAAGCTCAGTCATTCGGCCCTTGCCATGATTATTCATGGGTTTAAGATCAGATGGTAACTGAACATCGCCAATTTCTTGGTCTGACTCCATTTGAGAGGTTCCAGCTGATGATTTATCATTATCAACATGAGTTTCTGAAGATTGTGAAGAGCCTTGGGATCCCGCAAGTGGTTCTCCCAGTGTCGGCACACTGGTTCGCTTCACTTCTTGAGCTTCTTCCCTGTGTCCAACCACAGATACAACTTCACTGTACAATCCATTTTCAATCGGAACACTTCCTGCTCGTACTTGGTTGCTAGTTTGCACTTGAGAAGGCTGCTGTTGATTTGTGGCAACCTGAAACTGGCTAGAGGATGCTGATTCATCTGGTCGTAACATAGCCAATGGTTCTACAGTCACCACCTCTCTACCTTTTGAAGGTGATCCATCCAGAATCACTTGATTGCCAGGTAGTGGTCCATTTGTAGGACCGAGAGGTTGCAATACAACAGGAACCACATTACCTCTGGAACCTACAGGAGGAAATGAAGGGCCTGCTGTTGGAGAAGTAGATATTCCTTTTTTCACCACCATGTTAGCTATTTGGGATGACGATCCATGAATGTCATTCCTCTCTCTAGATGGGTTGCTGCTCTGCATCTGGTTATACAAAGGGAGACTGACTTCGCTTCTTTGGATCATTTGAACATGGGGAGCTACGTCATTCTGTGATGTTACAGGAACATAATGCCCAGGCTTGAAAACAACTCCCCTCAAAATGGTATGGGAGTTGCCAATCCTGACAGTTAGCAAGTAACCAGCATCAAATGAGGCTTCAACAACCCCTGCAACTGCCTGGCCAACCATATTATCTTTGCCATCAAATTTATCTGCTTTTCGGGATTTGTTCTCTTTTATTCCTTCAAAACCAGGTGGAACACGAGCGAGTCCCACGCGATTTAGGCTCTGATCCTTCCTCGGGCGACCCCTTTTTCGTTTTGCAGGTAGGACCTGCGTCAGGTTAGAACCCTCTGACTGGATAGCCTGGCTCATTGTCCAGATACAATTGCACAATTACTTTCTATTGGGGAAATGTTGGCCCTTGCCCCTGTTTGAGAAAGAGCCATCACAATGATTACTAACAGAAAAAGCATAGAGTTTTCCAACTGAAAATTCAATGCATTAGCAATCTTTATATAGCAATATAAAAGTTTACATGTGGACAACACCCTATCAACGAATTATAACCCTTAAGGGAGAAGGTTTAGACACCTCAGCTGTACCTTCCATCAACTCATATGATAATTACCCAAAACGCCCTACCCCGCTCCACAAAGGAATTAATAGGCATACTACCAGAAGGAAACAAGATCATTTGTATAAAACATATCCAAGCAAAGACGACACTGCAATTGACCTCTTCATATAAGGACCAATCAAAGAAAAACAATTAATGTACTGTCACATGCACCTTGTCCCTCGCCTACCTCTAGCTCTTGATATTGAGGAGCGTTAATTTATCAGAGATTGATCCCAAATGTCTGCACTTCTAAATCAAGACAGTATGCGATTAATTGTTTCAACAACTAGCGCACGTCTAAATAAGTATGCATCGGCGTACTTAAAATAAACATTCCTATAGCTTCTCAAAGACTGAATCTCCCCCTAAAGCACAGAAAACTAGTAGAAAGCCCAGAGACGAAAATAAGCAATATATACGCAAAAAAAAAGACCTACTTTTACCATGAGCTAAAGACGAGGACTATCATTTTTGCTTACACTTAATAGTCCCGAAGAAAATATTTTAACAATGGCAATCTTTGCATGCAGTATTAAACTCCACCCCAAAAAAAAAAAAAAAAAGAACCGAACTTTATATCATTCTCTAAAACCCTAAGAGCAAAATCTTGAAATGCAGACATGAAGACATCTAAAAGAGAAAAAAAATTTAACTTTGATGCATTAAAGTTAATCTAATCACATTATCAAGGCTCAGATTGCTAAAGGATTTTCAAGAAACACAAAAGGTTACTGAAACCCGGAACCCAAAAAAAAAAAAGACAAAAAAAGGACTGAAATTAAAAGCTCAGGAAACGAAGGACTTTACCTTTTACAAGAGCTTGAGAGGGGTTTAAGATAGAATTACAAATGGGGAAATTCTTAAAACCCTAATAAGGCTTTTTTTTTAAGGTGAAGGAACAGATGTGCAAAAATACGACCTACGGCGAGTATCTACTAGTTTTAGTAGCAGTGGAATGGTATGAAAAGAAGCAGCGGTAGTAGTAAAAATGGAGATTCGGATTTATTTTAAGGTTAAAAGTAAAGCATTAATGATGATATTTTTGGGGAGGGGGAGGAGGAGGAGGTGATGAAGATGCAGTCTTAGGAACTTACGACTCCAGAGATTTGTTTATTCTGACGTGACTGTGATTTGAAAACTCCGTGACAGGCCGTTATGGGCGCAGGAGAAGCTTTGATTGGTCCCATTGTTCTTCCATCCAGCGGGTAAGACTGAGATGGAGCGTAGAAGGTAGAGTATAAACTCAGTTGTTGTAACGGTTGGGATGGGGCCACGTCAATGCCCCTGTTTTATAGATTTTACGTAACATGTTCTTAAACGAACATATAATATATTTTTTAATATTTAAATTTTTTAAAAATAATTATTTAGTGTGTTTGGACAGCCAATTATTTGGCCAAATATATTTGCTGACATCACCATTACAATTTCCAATACACCTTTTCATCTTCCCAATTACCTTTTTATCTCACATACATCACATCACAAAAAGTGCTACAGTAAAAATATTTCAAATAACTTACAATCCAAACACACTTATTTTGCATATATCATAAACATATATTTTTATTAAATTTTTTATAATTTTAATTATTTTTTTATCTCGTATATATCATATCACAAAAAATATTACAATAATTATTTCAAATAATACTCTATCCAAACAAACCATTGATTCCGAATATTTCATGTAATCGCCACTACTGATGAAGATAATCGCTCTACACAATTATGGTTAACGAGAAATTTACTGCTTTTTTCTTAAATGCTAACAAAAAGTAGTATATTATTTAGGGATGATTTTAGCTAACCCAAAATCTGTGTGTTTGATGACTAGGAATTTTAGCAATAATTTTAGTTATCTACATTTAACTTTTTAGAACTTCTACGGTCTGGACTTTTTTTTTCTTTTTTCTTTTTGGAAGTATATGTGTATGCGCTTTACCATACTGGGAACTTTTTTTCTCTTATAAACATGTACGTGAAATTAAAAAAAAAAAAGAAA